CTATAGCTGGTACAGAACAGCAGTCATGAGCGAAAGAAGAAAATGCCCCTCAGGGGCAGCATTCAGAAAAAGAAAGAAAGCAAAGGAAGCTTTTCTATCTAAGAAGCAAGGAGCTCTCCTGAGATACATAGACACAAATGTTCACAGTGAGCCTTCCGGCCCCAGTGAGGATGTGAGTGGTGAGGAAATGCCTGATCTTCCAGTTAGTCAGAATGAAGGTGACCTGGCAGCTACTGGAGCATCCATATCTCCATCTCAAATGAATGTAACCATGCACATTCCTGAAGAAAAGTGTAGATCAGAGAAGAGTGTGGTGGAGGCACAAGAAACAGCTGCTGCTGAGTTTAGTTTCTTAAGTCTAGATGATCCAGGACTGTGAACCCATTTTCAGTAGCCTGAGGGACTTCCTTGTCCTGCATGGGCCACAGCAAGTGAAAAACTTCATGTTCCCCAAAGACAGTGAAAATAGAAGTTTCCATCCAACACATTACTGGCGTGAAATCCCCAGTGGTGACAAAGTGGAGAGGCCATGGCTTATGTACTCAAAAACCCAGAATGCTTCATACTGTTTTTGTTGCGGACTCTTCTAGTCTAATGTTCCAGCCACATTGGGCTCTACAGGAACAAAGGACTAGAAAAATCTGGCTAGAAATCTGGCATGCCATGAGAAGGCAGCAAATCACCAGAGAGCATTCCATAGGTGGAAAGAGCCTGAGATGAGACTAAGGTTAAAGGCCAACATAGATGATCAGCATCAAGAGAAGATTGCATCAGAGTCTCTTTACTGGCAAAATGTTCTGAAAAGGCTCATTGCCATTGTGAGAATGCTTGCTACCCAAAACCTAGCACTGCGTGACACTTCAGATCAGCTGTATGTGCCAAACAATGGAAACTTCCTTAAAATTGTGGAGCTGATGGCTGAGTTTGATGCTGTACTCCAGGAGCATCTAAGAAGAGTCACCACCCAAGAAATGTACACACACCTCTACCTTGGAAAAACAATTCAAAATGAGATCATACAGTTACCGGCAACAAAAGTCAAATAGAAGATTGTGGCAGATCTGAAGTCAGCAAGATATTACTCTGTTATTCTGGACTGCACACGTGACATCAGCCATACGGAACAAATGACTTTAATGGTGCATTTTATAACAACAGAACCTAGTAAAAATGCCCCTGCAATGGTGACTGTCAGAGAGCATTTTCTAGAATGTATTGACACTGATGATACTACAGGAGCTGGTATGACAAATGTGCTTCTTAAAAAGCTGGAAGATACGGGAATTGCGAAAGCTGACATGAGAGGTCAGGGCTACAATAATGGTGCCAACATGAGAGGAAAGAACAGAGGAGCGCAGACACGGATCCAAGAGTTAAACCCTCAAGCTTTTTTTGTCCCATGCAGTTCTCATTCATTGAACTTGGTGGTCTGTGATGCAGCATCAGCTTCTAGTGAGGCTGCTGAATTTTTTAATGTAACTAAGAGCATTTATGTTTTTTCTCTGCCTCAACTCATTGATGGCAAATTTTGAAGCAACATCTGGGAACATCCTCTCTGACACTGAAACCACTGAGTGCCACACGATGGGAAAGTCAAGTGGAGGCAATAAAGCCTATCAAACACCAAATTGGGAAGATAGATGATGCCATAGTTACTGTATGGAGCATAACGCTGTGAGAGGAACTGTTCATGGGAGAACAGTGGCAGAGGGAAATGGAATCACCAGAAACATACATAACTTCAAATTTCTGTGTGGCTTAGTGTTGTGGCATGACATACTGTTTGAAATAAATGTTGTAAGCAAGAGACTCCAAGGTGTTGACCTTGATATATCAGGAGCAATGGAACAACTGGACAAAGCAAAGTCATACCTACAGTCTTACCGGTCAGATGCGGGACTCCAAAACATTCTGAAGAATGCACAGAAGTTGGCAGAGGAACTTCCCACTAAAGCTATTTTCCCACCCATTCAAGAATACAAAAATCACCGAAGAAGAAGACATTTTGATTACAAGGCACGGGAATATCCCATAAGAGACCCCAAACAATTCAAAGTTGAATTCTTTAACCAGGTGCTAGATTGTTGCAATACAGTCAGTTGAAGAAAGTTTCATGCAGCTCAAGGAACACAGCAGTATATTTGGGATGTTGTATGATATTCCAAAACTCCTCACTATACCTGAAGAAGACCTACATTAGCAATGCAGGGCACTAGAGACAGTGTTGACACATGATGATATGCGTGATATTGATGCGAGTGATTTAGGTGATGAGCTGAAAGCCCTTTCAAGATACATTTCAGCAGGATCAACTCCAAAGGCTGTTCCAGAATATATGTGCACAAATAAGATGACCTCCCTCTTTCCAAATGCTTTTGTTGCTCTGAGCATACTTCTAACACTTCCTGTAACAGTTGCCAGTGGAGAATGCAGCTTCTCCAAGCTGAAGTTAATAAAAACACATCTACCCTCCACAATGACACAGGAGAGGCTGGTCGGCCTTGCAACCATCTCAATAGAGCATTAGCTGGCCCAGACTGTGGACCTTCAGCAGGAAGCAGTTCAAATCTTTACAACCAAGAAGGCACGGAAAGCACCACTTTGATTATTCAAACAGATAAAAATGCCAGTGTTTACTATGCAGACAAGAAAAGTTACATTTGCTGTTCAGGTGTTTGAAAGTTAAATGTTACTTAAAATTTTTGAACAAGGCATTTTAATTTGTTAGTTCTCCTTTATTGGGGTAGGTAGCAGAGCAGTACCATGAGAGGAGTAGAACAGGAAGAAAGCAGAATTGAGACCTGTCAAGGTTTTGGCCCAAGCGAGGGGGTATAGGGGCATCATTTGAGCTCCCCGCCTCAGGTGCCGAAATGTTGTGGGCTGGCTCTGCCCGCAGCTGGCCCATGCCAGCTGACTCAGGCTCACAGGGCTTGGACTAAGAGGCTCTTTAACTGCAGTGTAGACGTTCAGGCTCAGGCTGGAGCACAGTCTCTAGAACTCTGCAAGATGGGAGGATCCCAGAGCTCAGGCTGCAGCCCGAGCCTGAATGTCTACACTGCAATTAAACAGCCCTGCGTGCCATAGCCCCGCAAGTCCCAGGCAGCTGGCCTGGGCAAGGCACGGGTGTCTGATTGCAGTGTAGACAGGCTTCTTGATGAACGGGTCAGGGGAAAAGAGAGAAGCTAGGAAGAAAGAACAACCTGTGATACATGCTTAGAGACCAGAGTCTGGGTTATGTGACTTGTGACCTGTCAAAAGGGTCAAGAAGAAAAAGAAAAACTGGAGAGAGAAGCTGTGCTCTCTAGAAATGCAAGTTCTCACTTTTGCATTGTAACTGGCCCAAAAGGATACCTGTGTAGACTGTGGACTTTGGAGTCTACAGTCGTGGAGTTTAAGACTAGCTAAGATATGCATATCATTTTTAAAATCAATTTTTTTCTTTTCTTGCTAAACTTTGCTTTTAATGAAACCAAATGAGTCTTACATAGTTTTTGGGGTAAAATGGACTGTGTTACATTTCTGAAGGGAAAACCGCTTTCTGACTTCTTGTGAGAGGCAATTTGGAGAAAACAGAACCTATCCTGGAGCACTTGGTTGAGACAATATCCTAAGAAGTGGACAATGGATGCAGCCAGCAGAGGCACAAGGAAATCCTGCTGACTATAAAATTTGGCAGGAGCAGGAGACCAAAAGCAAATATTTTTATAATTATAGCTTTAGAATCCTATAATTCAGGATTTAAACTAGTTCCAAGAGGCGAAGCATGCACTTCAGAGTTCTAAATTACATACAGTGACTGCTGTAGCCCTGTAACTGCAGGCTGGGGTCAATGCAGTCCAGCGGTGGGTTTTTTAAACTCGTGATTTCAAACAACAAGCAAATTCTCTCCATTTAGCAAGAAAGACAAAAGCACAAGCAACCTCTGGGTCAGAGCTCATTTTTTAAAAAAAAGTATGGATATTTATATGCACATTAGACGTAGCTCTTGAGCTCACTGCTAATGCAGCCCCCAGTGTGTGTTTTGTTCTTCCATCTAGAAACTAAATAACTAATACTAAGAAACTACAGAAACTTTCTGTGAAAACAGTGTTTCTTTGTGTGGCTCACAGAGTTGTCCGATATGTAGCCAAAGAACCAGGATTTGGCTCAGACGTAACGTTGCATCTCTTAAATTCTATTTACTTCATTGTTTTCTTTTTAGTGGCTATGCTGGGGCGGCTGGACTAACTCACAGCCGTTCCACACAGTAAGGTTCCGAGACCTTAGTCCCAGGGGAACTGAAACATTCCAAAACTGTTAGGACATATTTTGTAAGCTTTCCTGTAAATAATGCAAATCAGTATTGACTGTTTAATTCATAACCATTTTGGGGTGAAAAATGGATCCTTCCAATCATGCTCTGTAGTATAGGAGAGAGGTATCTGGCACCTAAGTACAGCTAGATTCTCCCACTCAGATATATTTCTCTCGTCTGGCAAGAATTAAAGTGAAAAAGGATAAATTGAAGATGAATATCAGAAAACTTTACTTCTCCAAAACTGCCCTGGGATCTTTAATTACTGTTGTGATGGGTTTCCCCCAGGTGCCACCTGGAACTGGGGTATCACTGAGCCCTCTAACCCACCAGCCTGCGATCCCTCTCACACTGTGCTGCTGTGACAAGCTGCAGACGTGCTCCCAGTTTTACACTTCCACCAGCATACACGCAGGCGGGGACACACCCAGCTGCAGTTACATGCAGGCTCTCTGACCAGCCATTGCATGTGAACCAACAATAGAAAGGCTACAGCCAAAATAACTCCCAGGTTTCCAGCCTAGGACCCCAGAGCAGAACCATCCTGCCCAAACCAGTCTGAATTTATTATCCAGTTCACCTCCCCCTCAATGTGGAGAGGAATATACAACAGTCCCTCTGAGCTAAGATTCCCACACACTTCACTCCAAACTCACTGATTCAGATAAAGCAAAAACAAGTTTATTAACTACAAAAGATAAGCGTTTAAGTGATTATAAGTGATAGCAAACAGATCAAAGCAGATTACCTAGTAAATAAACAAAAACACAAGCTAAGCTTAATATACTAGATAGATTGGATATGAATTAGCAGATTTTCACCCTAATTGATGGTACAGGCAGGCTACAGATTTTTAAGGGGCAAGCTGCACTTGCTTTACAGCTTAGAATCCCCAGGTCTTTTATACACAGGCTAAAAATCCCTTTAGCCTGGGTCCAACACTTCCACCAGTTCAGTCTTTGTTCCCCAGGTATTTCCAGGAGTCTCCTTGTGTGGGGAGTGAAGAACAATAGATGATGTCACTCTCTGCCTTATATAGCTTTAGCATATGGCAAGAACCCTTTGTTTCAAAACTTGGTTCCCAGACTGGTTTATGGAAAATACTGACATCCCAAAATGGAGTCCAGAATCATGTGGCCTGGTCACATGTCCTTGCAGTGTTATAGCTGCCATTGCTTACAGGCTGTGCAAAATGCCCACAGGTAGGTTAAGCTATTCCACAGACCATTGTCTTTGCTGATGGGCCATCAGCCACATCCGGCTTCTTCATTGTTGTTCCTGAAAGGCTGGCTGTGGGTGTTTTCCAGAGTAAGCCCATCTGAAATACAGATCCCTAACCAATGTTCATAGCTTCAGATACAAAAATGATACATGCCTACAAACAGGATAATCAGATTCAGCAAATCATAACTTTTTCAATGACACCTCACAATTTATCTTGTACAAAATATATCATAACTATGCCATAATCCTAACATAATAATATCACTGTGAAGAATATGGGGTGCAGTGTTTCAACTGTGATCCAGATCCTGAGCTGTGGTCAAGCTGTATTGGGCACAGCTCAGTGGTAGGGGGCAGGAGCTGATTGCAATGGTCCTTTTAAGCACTTATAAGCACCTTTGAGCCCCCGCCCCCCTGATCCTGGGGCTGTCCAGCAAAAGGAAGGGCCAACACCCATCTGAAATATCTAATATTTCTTTATGTCTTTCCCACCTCTGATTTTTAGATTATATCAAGAGGGTTCATCATGCTGAAGAACCAATTCAGCATCAATCCAGGCTTGTCAGGGAAATTTTCAGATTTTCATAGGTCTTTGTATCTAAGCTACATTTTATCACCTCGTCTCTCTTCCCTTTATCTATGTAAGGTTCTTTCCAGAGTCACACGTAACAGCTCCATTTATAATTTACAAGTTATATTTTCAAAAGAAAAGGAGTACTTGTGGCACCTTAGAGACTAACCAATTTATTTGAGCATGAGCTTTCACTTCATCTGATGAAGTGAGTTGTAGCTCACGAAAGCTCATGCTCAAATAAATTGGTTAGTCTCTAAGGTGCCACAAGTACTCCTTTTCTTTTTGCGAATACAGACTAACACGGCTGTTACTCTGAAACCTGAAATTTTCAAAAGAGTGGATTGACTATGCACTACAGGTTAAATCCACTCACTATACACAGAGCCCAGGTAAACATTCTTTGTTCAGGGAACTACACAGGACTTGGGGGAAAGAATCTGCTCCCACCCTATGGGGGGAAGGGGAAGGGGAGAGAGAACATGCAGCCTCTCCCACAGCCACATGCCATGGCCTATAATTCTTGCTGCAAACCAAGCAGGTCACTCTCCCTTGAATGCTCCATTACAATATATGCTAACTACTTATGCTAAAAATTCTCTTTCACCATGCATTTTGCTGTGATGCTGGGAGTACCTTTCCGAGCCCTGAGGAAGAGCTGTGTGTGCATAGGTGCCAATTTTCTTCTTTCTGGGTGGGTGCTCCCCCCCCAGTTTCTGCCCTGAGGCCCCACCCTCCTCCCACTGCTTCCCACCCCATTCCCTTCCCCCAGCGCCTCCTGCCCACTGGTGCTGCCAAACAGCTTTTTGGTGGGGCCCGCCGAGCAGCTGATCACTGGGTGACTGGTGGGTGCTGAGCCCTGGAGCACCCATGCAGTTAGCGCCTATGTCTGTGTGGATCAAAAGTTTGTCTCTCTCACCAACAGAAGCTGGTCCAATAAAAGACATATCACCCACCTTAACTCTCTAATATCCTGGGACCAACACGGCTACAACTACACTGCATACCTCTTTGCTGTGTGGCAATTAGCTCTGCATAGCCATGGACCTTCTACTGCATTGCTCCATTCTCAGTCTGCTCCCAATCTTAGGGTTTGTGTAGTCTACAGGTTATGCCAGCATAATTTATGTGGTTCAGGGGTGTAAGTACCCCCTTCTCCCAAGTGACGTAAGTTACACTGATCTAAGTGCCGGTGTGGACAGTGCTACGTCTGCAGAGCTTCTCCCATTGACAGTATCACCTCTGGCAGAGGTGGTTTTATTATGCCCATGGGAAAGCTCTCTCCCGTCGGCATAGAGCATCTAGAAGCAGTGGCACTTTAGCCATTGGGCCCACATGGCCCACGCCCAGGGCCCCGGCCAATGGGGGGGCCCCTGAAAAATGGGTTCCCCTGTGCCTCAACCTGCTCTGCCCACCCGGCACTTCTGCCAGGGAGTGAGGTTGGGGCGCTGGGGCTTGCCCCTCTCCGTCTGCCTGGCGCTCCTGCCAGGGCGTGAGGTCAGGGCACGGGGTCTTGCCCCGCTCCCTGGCAGAAGCGCTGGGTGGGGAGAGCAGGTTATGGTGCAGGGGTGGCAATTTTTCCAGGGCCGGGGGCCCTGGGCACAGGCCATGTTGGCCCAGTGGCTAATTCACCACTGCTTCTAGTATACGCTAGTCCTTACTTATATCCTGCAATATGCTAGTGTGGAAAGGGAGCAGGAATCCAGATGGGGGAGAGGTGCTACAAAAGGAACTACCCGAGGGGCGGCAGCATGGGGAAGGATTCTGGAGCGCTGGATCCAGGTGGGTCACAGGCCGAGCTGGGCTGGCAGGAGCTCTGATGCCCGTAACATGGGGGCGCGGTGACAGCGCAGGGTGAGACCCAGTAGGGCTGGAAACGGGAGCCAACCCCATAGGGTGCGGCGTCTCCCCGCGGGGCGCCTGTGCACGGTCTGGGTAAAACAGGGGCACCCCGACCAGCGCGGCGGCTTCCCGCTGGAGTTTGTTTCCGGAGCGCGGCACAAGGCTCCCGGGGGCAGGGCGGAGAGTCATTCCCCAAGGCGCCGGGGCAGGGAAGCCGCTGCCCCAGGGGTGGGGACGCTGACGGCTGAGAGAGCCCAGCCCCTACATTCCCCCTGGGCTGGCGCGCTCGGGCTGGGCGGAGGGGAGGCGGTATTGCGGGCAGCCTGCCCCTGGAAACACCTCCCCGGCGCGTCATTGCCGGGAACGGGAGACCAGCTGCGGCCGCTAGTGCAGCTGCCTGCTCGTCGGCGACTCCGCAGGCCCGGGGCTGGAGCGCGCCGGGGGACCCGATCCACGCACAGCAGCGCCGGTCTGGCCGGCCCCCGCCCCTGTAAGTGCAGCCTGGGCACGCCGCTCCGCGCCGCAGCCGCCCCCTCCCTGGCCCCCGGCCTCCGCTCCGAAAGCGAAACTGAAAGTGAGCGCCCAGTGCGATGGCAGCCGGGAGCAGGTGGGGCGGGCTCTGCGGGTGCCTGGGGGACCGGCCAGGGGCCTGCAGCGCCTGCCTCGTCTGGTTTGGCTTCCCTCAACGAGCTGGGTCTTCATGGGCCAGCGTCTAAGGCCAGGGAAGGATGCCAGCGCAAATTCCAAGCTGGCTTCCTAAGGGCGGGTTGTAAAGGCGCATGCACACCGAGGACTGGGTATGATGCTGCCGCTCTGAAAAACACCTCTGGGTTATTGACCATACAGAAAAAGAAAAGGAGTACTTGTAGCACCTTAGAGACTAACCAATTTATTTGAGCATGAGCTTTCGTGAGCTACAGCTCACTTCATCAGATGTATACCGTGGAAACTGCAGCAGACTTTATATACACACAGAGAATATGAAACAATACCTCCTCCCACCCCACTGTCCTGCTGGTAATAGCTTATCTAAAGTGATCATCAGGTGGGCCATTTCCAGCACAAATCCAGGTTTTCTCACCCTCCACCCCCCCACACAAATTCACTCTCCTGCTGGTGCTAGCCCATCCAAAGTGACAACTCTTTACATAATCAAGTCGGGCTATTTCCTGCATAAATCCAGGTTTTCTCACATCCCCCCCACCCCCATACACACACAAACTCACTCTCCTGCTGGTAATAGCTCATCTAAACTGACCACTCTCCAAGTTTAAATCCAAGTTAAACCAGAACATCTGGGGGGGGGGGAATTTGGAAAAAACAAGAGGAAACAGGCTACCTTGCATAATGACTTAGCCACTCCCAGTCTCTATTTAAGCCTAAATTAATAGTATCCAATTTGCAAATGAATTCCAATTCAGCAGTTTCTCGCTGGAGTCTGGATTTGAAGTTTTTTTGTTTTAAGATAGCGACCTTCATGTCTGTGATTGCGTGACCAGAGAGATTGAAGTGTTCTCCGACTGGTTTATGAATGTTATAATTCTTGACATCTGATTTGCAAATTGGATACTATTAATTTAGGCTTAAATAGAGACTGGGAGTGGCTAAGTCATTATGCAAGGTAGCCTGTTTCCTCTTGTTTTTTTCCCTACCCCCCCCCCCCCCCCCCCAGATGTTCTGGTTTAACTTGGATTTAAACTTGGAGAGTGGTCAGTTTAGATGAGCTATTACCAGCAGGAGAGTGAGTTTGTGTGTGTATGGGGGTGGGGGGGATGTGAGAAAACCTGGATTTATGCAGGAAATAGCCCGACTTGATTATGTAAAGAGTTGTCACTTTGGATGGGCTAGCACCAGCAGGAGAGTGAATTTGTGTGGGGGGGTGGAGGGTGAGAAAACCTGGATTTGTGCTGGAAATGGCCCACCTGATGATCACTTTAGATAAGCTATTACCAGCAGGACAGTGGGGTGGGAGGAGGTATTGTTTCATGATCTCTGTGTGTATATAAAGTCTGCTGCAGTTTCCACGGTATACATCTGATGAAGTGAGCTGTAGCTCACGAAAGCTCAAATAAATTGGTTAGTCTCTAAGGTGCTACAAGTACTCCTTTTCTTTTTGCGAATACAGACTAACACGGCTGTTACTCTGAAACCTGACCATACACAGAACACACATGATGGTAAATGATCACTGTCACCAAGGTTTTAAAGAATAGCACAAGTTACTTTGTCCTTGGGATCAATGGCCCTTTAGGCACCGTTTTATTTTGCTATAAAGAGAGTTTGGTGCCTTGTAAAGCGCAAATATAAAGAAAACAACACGCATTTTCTTCATTATAAAGTATTCTTGTTTATGTGCTTTTCAGAGACTTGGTGGGATAATATGCATGACTGGAATATTGGTATAGAAGGGTACAGCTTGCTCAGGAAGGACAGGCAGGGGAAAAAGGGAGGAGGTGTTGCCTTATATATTAAAAATGTATACACTTGGACTGAGGTTGAGATGGAAATAGGAGACAGACTTTTGGAAGTCTCTGGGGGTAAGGATAAAAGGGGTAAAAAACAAGGGTGATGTCATGGTAGGGATCTACTACAGACCACCGAACCAGGAAGAAGAGGTGGATGAGAATTTTTTTAAAACAACTAACAAAATCATACAAAGCACAAGACTTGGTGGTGATGGGGACTTCAACTACTCAGACATCTGTTGGGAAAATAACAGAGCAGGGCACAGATTATCCAAAAAGTTCTTGGAATGTGCCAGAGACAATTTTTTATTTCAGAAGGTTGAGAAAGCTACTAGGGGAGAGGCTGTTCTAGATTTGATTTTGACAAATAGGGATGAACTAGTTGAGAATTTGAAAGTGCAAGGCAGCTTGCGTGAAAGTGATCATGAAATGGTAGAGTTCACGATTCTAAGGAATGGTAGGAGGGAGAACAGCAAAATAAAGACAATGGATTTCAAGAAGGCAGAGTTTAGCAAACTCAGGGAGTTGATAGGTAAGATCCCATGGGAAGCAAGTCTAAGGGCAAAAACAATTGAAGACAGTTGTCTTTTTTTCAAAGGGACATTATTAAGGGCACAAGAACAAACTATCCCACTGCATGGGAAAGATAGGAAGTATGGCAAGAAACCACCCTGGCTTAACCAGGAGATTTTCAATGATCTAAAACTCAAAAAAGAGTCCTACAAAAAGTGGAAACTCGGTCAAATTACAAAGGATGAATATATGTAGGGACAAAATTAGAAAGGCCAAGGCACAAAACGAGATCAAACTAGCTAGAGACATAAAGGGTAACAAGAAAACATTCTACAAATACATTAGAAGCAAGAGGAAGACCAAGGACAAGGTAGGCTCATTACTCAATGAGGGGGAAAAAACAATAACAGAAAATGTGGAAATGGCATAGGTGCTTAATGAATTCTTTGTTTCCGTTTTCACCAAGAAGGTTGGTGGTGATTGGATGTCTAACATAATGAATGCCAGTGAAAATGAGGTAGGATCAGAGGCTAAAATAGGGAAAGAACAAGCTAAAAATTACTTAGACAAATTAGATGTCTTCAAGTCACCATGGCCTGATGAAATGCAGACTCAAGGAGCAGACTGAGGAGATATCTGAGCCATTAGCGATTATCTTTGAAAAGTCATGGAAGATGGGAGAGATTCCAGAAGACTGAAAAATGGCACTATACAGTACAGACCCATTTATGCACGGATGTTGGGAGTCAAGCCGTCACAACCGCCTGTTAACAGACCATGGGTGAAGAGGGCCATGCTGAAAAAAGTGTCTATGATTCACTTAGAAAAAAATGTCATTATTTTCTGCTCTTTCTGGCTTGCATTTTTTTTTCTTTCTTATGAAATCTGTTATTGCCGCAGATGAATGATTTCGATATTTTCCGTATTTTGCTCCTCCATAAGTCTTACAACAATTTCTACAGCACTAAGGGCTTCTGTGGGTGAAATTTTGACATTTTCAATGACATCCTCGCCATCACTTTCGCGGTCTGACGTAGCCTTGCAGCCCATTAATATTTCTTCCTCGGACAGAAATTCAGAAGTCGGGCAATCTTCATCCATCTCCAGCCACTCGGTAATGATTTCCGGCGACGTATCCAAACTAAGCCTTTCCTGAGCAAACCCCATGCACATGGCTTTGTCTATTGTGGGTTTTGCTGAATAGCGCACATGTTTTTGCTTAAGCCCTGCGGCAGAATCGATATTTTGTACAAAGCCAGTCAGTTTAGATTCGTTTTTTAGACATCCTGTGAGAGTCGATTCGGCAATCCCAATATCTTTTGAAATTTTGGCCTGGGTTTCTCCGCTATTTACTCAATCTATTGCAGCTAGTTTTTCTTCTACAGTGTAGGAACGCTGACGCTTGCCCTCTGTCATTATATTAGGCCTACGGTTAAAATTTTCTAATGTCGTAGATGTATTATTATATAACTACTATGTATTATATCTCTCTCTAGCATGACGATGACTAAGAGTGCATGATACGTCTTTACCAATAGCGGTAAAGACGTACAACACATTTCCGTTCTGCACTTCCTGTCGATTTCTGTGCCAGTGAGTTAGTGAGCACAGCTGTAGCGCTACATAGCAAGTTCCTGTACTGCCTGTTAACGAGTCTTGTGTGTTAAATAGGTAGCACTGGGAGGTATGGTGCTACCACACGTTAAGCGGATTCGCGTGTAAACGGGTCTGTACTGTATTTGTCCACCTATAAAAAGGGAAATAAGGCTAACACGGGAAATTACAGACCAGTCAGCTTAACTTCTGTTCCTGGAAAGATAATGAGCAAATAATTAAGCAACCAATTTGCAAACATCTAGAAGATACTAAGGTGATAAGTAACAGTCAGCATGGATTTGTCAAGAACAAATTGTGTCAAACCAACCTGGTAGCTTTCTTTGACAGGGTAACAAGCCTTGTGAATTGGGAGAAAGCAGTAGATGTGGTATATCTTGACTTTAGTAAAGCTTTTGATACTGTTTCGCATGACCTTCTCATAAACAAACTAGGGAAATGCAACCTAGATGGAATTACTATAAGGTGGGTGCAAAACTGGTTGGAAAACTGTTCTGAGAGAGTAGTTATCAGTGGTTCACAGTCATGCTGGAAGGGCACAATGAGTGGGGTCCCCTGGGGATCAGTTCTGGGTCCGGTTCTGTTCAATATCTTCATCAATGATTTAGATAATGGAGTACAGAGTTCACTTAAGTTTGCTGATCATACCAAACTGGAAGAGGTTGCAAGTGCTTTGGAGGATAGGATTAAAAATTCATAATGATCTGGACAAACTGGAGAAATGGTCTGAAGTAAATAGCATGAAATTCAATAAGGACAAATACAAAGTACTCCATTTAGGAAGGAACAATCAGTTGCACACATGCAAAATGGGAAATTACTGCCTAGGAAGGAGTACTGTGGAAAGGGATCTAGGGGTCATAGTGGACCACAAGCTAAATATGAGTCAACAGTGTAACACTGTTACAAAAAAAGTGAACATCATTCTGGGATCTATTAGCAGGAGTGTTGTAAGCAAGACACAAGAAGTAATTTTTCCGCTCTACTCTGCACTGATTAGGCCTCAACTGGAGAATTATGCCAGTTCTGGGCATTACATTTCAGGAAAGATGTGGACAAATTGGAGAAAGTCCTGAGAAGAGCAGCAAAAATTATTAGAGGTCTAGAAAACATGACCTATGAGGAAAGATTGAAAAAATTGGGTTTGTTTAGTCTGGAAAAGAGAAGACTGAGAGGGGATATGATAACTATGTTCAAGTACCTAAAAGGTTGTTACAAGGAGGAGGGAGAAAAATTGTTCTTCTTAACCGCTGAGGATAGGACAAGAAGCAATGGGCTTAAATTGTAGCCAGGGAGGTTTAGACACTGGAATAAATTGCCTAGGGAAGTTGTGGAATCTCCATCATTGGAGATTTTTAAGAACAGGTTAGACAAACACCTGTCAGGGATGGCCTAGATCAATGATGGACAATCTGCGGCCCATGGGCCACACACAGCCCGTCAGGGTAATCTGCTGGCAGGCCGCAAGACAGTTTGTTTACATTGACTGTCTGCAGGCACGGCTTCCTGCAGCACCCATTGGCCATGGTTCACCATTCCCAGCCAGTGGGAGCTGCGGGAAGTGGCACGGCCTCAGGGATGTGCTGGCTGCCACTTTCCGCAGCTCCCATTGGCTGGGAATGGCGAACCGCGGCCACGCCTGCGGGTGGTCATTGTAAACACTGTCTCGCAGCCCACCAGTGGATTATCTTGATGGGCCATTTTACTTAATCCTGCCATGAGTGCAGGGGACTGGATTAGATGACCTCTCAAGGTCCCTTCCAGTCCTATGATTCTTTGATTATTTGGTATGTTACATATAGCAGATTTTTGTGTGGATAATATTATTACTGTTACTTCTTTTGGATGGCACTCAAAGTGTTCTAGGTGCTTTCCAAGCAGAAGCAGTGGTGCTAACTTGTGATTTTATTGCAAGGCTTACAAAAGTTTTACTTTAAGCCCCACCTCCTAGAGAAAAGTCAATGTGTGAGAATTGCAGCTTTGATTAAAATAAAACCAGAAAATGCCATGCAACTTTCTAGCTCTCATGGTTGCAGAGAAAAGCTTGAAAATGTAACCCAAGTATGCTTGAAAGCTTGGAAGCCAGAAATCACATAAAACTAACCCTTTTTGGGGAAAAAATCCGATACATTTTAAACCTGCCTCATGACTTTTTTGGAACATTTGGGGTTGGCAGTACTGCAGAAGGGAAGGTGTGGTCCTGACACAACAAGATAAACACACAAATATTAACATATAACATATAACAAACATATGTGTGTTATAACAAACACCCTGATCCTGCTAGTGCACTACTCACATGTAATTAAGCAAGTGCATAAAATATTTGAAAGATAAGGGGACAACTCTGAAAACCGTTTGTAGCCCCCGCCCTACCCTGTCCTGACATCACATGTGCACAAGTGGATCCTTGCTCTTATATGGAACTTCACTACCTCCAGGATAAACATTTTCCAGTGTGTTCATTACTATGTTTATGATCATCCTAATATTATTGTAATATTAAATATAATAGAACAGGGGTTGGCAACCTATGGCACGCGTGCCAAAGACAGCACGCGAGCCGATTTTTAATGGCACGCTGCTGCCTGCTGGGTCCCAGCCGCCGGCCCCGCTCAGCCCGCTGCCGAACCCAGGCTGGGACCCCAGCAGGCAGCAGCGTGCCATTAAAAATCCTGCCCGCCCCGGCCCGCTCTTCTCCGCCCCAGCCCTTCCCCGCAGGGGCAGGGTGAAGAAGCTTGGTCCTGCTGACTGCTGCTGCAGGGCAGGCAAGCTCCCCCCTCCCCCACCTCTTCCCCCAGCGTGCTGGGTTCCTGTCCCTCCTCCTCTCCCTCCCTGCCGCTGATCAGCTGATGGCCCTTGCGAGGAAGGGGAGAAGCAGAGCCGCAGCGCGCTCGCTGCTCCGGGGAGGAGGCGGCGAAGAGGTGGGGGCAGGGCCTTGGGGAAGGGGAGTGGAATCAGGGCATACCCCCTCCAGCTCCCTGCCGTGAGCTGCTCTGGGCAGGGGGCTGGGACCACCCCCATGACCCTAGCCCACATCCCCAGCCCTCTGCCCTGACTCCTGCACCCCCCTCACACACCCCCAGTCTTGACTCCAGCACCCCCCACACCCCATGCCCTGACTCCTGTACCCCCTCACATGCCCCAAGCCCTCTGCCCTGACTCCTGAACCCCCCTACACACACCCAGCCCTCTGCCCTGCACTCCCAACACACCCCAGCCTCCTGCCCTGACCCCTGCACCCCCCCAGAACCCCAGCCTTGACTCCAGCACCCCCACACATACCCAGCCCCCCACACCCCATGCCCTGACTCCTGCACCCTCCACATTCTCACCCCCACCCTGAGCACCAAACGGGAGCTGCTGCACCCCCTACATTCCTACCTGCACCCCTTGCACCAAATGGGAGTTGTCCAGGTAAGCACTCCATACCCAAACCTGCCCCAACCCTGAGCCTCCTCTCTCATTCTAGCTCCTGGCCAGACCCTACACCCCAACCCTAGCCTGCTCCTTCACCCCCAGCCCTGTGCTCAGTGCACTCCCACCCTCAGCTCAGTGCAGAGAGAGAGGAAGAGAATGGGCTAGAACCAGGGAGAAGGTAGGTACCCACTCTATGTGGGCAGGGCTGGGATCCCAGACCAGCAGCGGGCTGAGCAGGGCTGGCAGCTGGGACCCTGGCTGGCAGGAGCCGGCGGACGGAACCCCAGACTGGCAGCGGGCTGAGTGGCAGCGGGCTGAGCCGCTCAGCCCACTGCTGGTCTGGGGTCCCAGCCGCCGGCCCCACTCAGCCCACTGCCGGTCTGGGGTTCTGGCTGCCAGCCCCTTGCCAGACAAGGTCCCAGCCGCAGGCCCCGCTCAGCCGGCTGCCGGCCTAGGTAAACAGAACCCCTGACTGGCAGCGGGCTGAGCGGCTGGCATGAAGCTTCTTAAACATTTTGAAAACCTTGTTTACTTTACATACGACAATAGTTTAGTTATATAATATATAGACTTATAGAGAGAGACCTTCTAAAAAAGTTAAAATGTATCACTGGCACGCGAAACCTTAAATTAAAGTGAATAAATGAAGACTCGGCACACCACGTCTGAAAGGTTGCCGACCCCTGTAATAGACCACTGGCCTTATAACTCATAATGAAGTATGTTCTTTTTATCTTTGTTTCTATTTTATGAAATAATAAACAATCTTTATACTGAAAAATATCTAATTAACTGTATATTGATCTAAGATGCTATTATTCTGGAAAATAATTATTTTTCAAATTATCATACTGTATGTGTAATGTAGTGAAATAACCAAGAGATGGTTTTATTCATTTTCTCAGTTTCCTCATCGCTAACACAGAGTTAAGTGCTTTACTTCTCTCATGAGATTGTTGTGATTAGTTAGTTAACATTAGTGTGAAAACAAGTCCTGCCACGATAACAAATTGTTTTCTCTAACATTGATTCTTTGATAATATGTACTATAATGTGATAGGACATCAGCATAAGTGCCTGCATTCAATGCAATGACAAGTATTATGTGAAATCCTGATCCTAATTGGGGCATCTAGCTGCTACTCCAATACAAATAATACATACAAAAGGAAAGGCCATGATCCATTTTTGTGCAAAAATTTCCAGTTGACACTAATAAGAATTCCATTCATGGAGCAAATTTCCAATTAATTTGGAATTATTTGGAAATAATTTGGAAATTTCCAATTTCCTCAATTAAGTTAGTTTGTCGTTTTATTGCATTAATATTAATTTCCTCAAGACTAAATCAAACTTCAGTGTAAACATGAGATGGGTGCAGATTATTTCCATAAATCCCAGACCTGCAAAGATTTATGCACGTGCTTAACACATGCTTAAGTGTTTGCCATATCAAAGCCTTAAGTTGTGCACTGTAGAAATCTTGGCATGTCTTGCTCTCAGGTTATTATATTATCCTATATGTTCTACATATTGTGAAAGTGGTGTATTGTTCTATTTCCTCAGGGTTCAATGGATTTAACAAGTGAACTAGATTCTTTAAAAGATGATTCTATGGTAAGTATTTTCTGTTGTGCCATGCTGTAAGAATCTGTATTTGAAAAGGAGATCTCTAAATGGAGATGTTTAGCTAATGCTGTAAGACATTTTTCAGTAATAAATAGGCATTCTTTTTTTCTGAACAGTTTCCAAGTATAGCCTGTATCTCCTTTCTCTCTCGTTTCCTTTCAAAAAAAAAAAAAAAAAAAAAAATAGATGGGACAAAGCACTGGAAAATATTTTGTAGGAAATATTTTGTGGACTATCCAGTTTGGCACGGGAACTGACTCGATTACCTAATAGGTCTTTTCTATGCCTAAATTTTATGATTCACATTCCGGTTTTACGTAATCTTAAGTGAAACAAGAAGGATTTTTCTGCAGGTCATTCTGGAATTTTTCTTTCAGAATATTGCAATCGAAAATAAAATGGAGCAAGAAGGGTTTTCCCTTCATTCCTCGTGCTTAGCCCAGCTACAAGTTTTCTCTGTATGTGAACTTCTGTGTTCTAATTTTTTAATTTTGAAATACTTTTTGAGCCTGTTTTTCCCTCCCTATATTATTCTTGGCAATCTAATCATCTAAGGCCCTGCTCCTGCAAAGATTTATACACCTAAAACTAGGCTTGGAGGGATTAGAATTTTGTTGGTAAATGTCGATTTCACTGTTCACACACAAAGTGACAAAAAAATTTCCATCAGTAATAATTGAAATTTACAGATAGGCAAAGTAAGGAAAATACTGCCCAAGTAATTATTTAAACTTTTGTATTAGGCTTGTTACAACTGGACTAGTGAAATGAATGGTAAAAACAAGTATGATTTGTTGATTGAAGGACGTTTGCTTTGTATATTATGATGTGATGATGACAAATTGTGTTTTAACAATTATAAAGCTTTAACTTTTTGAATCTCAACATATGCTGGCATTAAATAGTTATCTTACTCCTCCATAATTTTCCACAAGTGTGAAAATTTAAATTGATAAAAATGCTTAAAAATAAACATTAATATTATCCATTGAAATTATTTTAAAAAAATCAAATTCTGCCAAGGCTATCTATATAACTCTATACACTGTGAGTAAACCCATTGACCTCAGTTGACCCCAATGATCTTCGTTCTTTTTGGAAGAACACGGGGCAGCATGCCTCCATGGTGTGTCAGAACAATTTGGATATTTTCCAGTTGGATAATAGTTTCAGTTAGGTCCCCATGTTTAATGACCAAAATCCATTTTCTGAGATTTATATCCTTTCCAACCACAACAGTAGTTCAGTGATTTCTGTCTAACTGTCAAGACTTATTGAAGTGAAAGAGTAAAAATGAGAAACTCGTTGTTATAGTGCATCTGTTATACTCCTGCATGAAAATACTAGGAATATCTAATTCAGCATGTCTCTTATCAGATTTGCCTCATCAGCACTTTCTCTCCATCAGGAGAGGCAGAGTTGCAGAGAAGCAGCAAAAGGCACTCAGTCAAGAACTGGACTGTCATGTACACTGATTAACTCATAACTACAGTGGCAAAATATTTCAAACGAGTGCAAAGTGTTATTCTTCTCAGTTTGCTAGTATAGTTTGAACACTGCTGGTATGATTTGTACAGATAATGATTTAACAAGTGAATGTAGTCTCTCTAGCATGACATATCTGGTGATATTATAAAGTGAAAAATAGTACTGTGCATTTTCTTGTCTTTCTAGGATCTGAAAGTTACTGACCATTCTGGCACACAGACAGATGAGGTTGACAATCTTAAAGAAGAACTAGAAAAATGGAAGGTGCGTATGAACTGCACAGCTCTTAGGTTTTCACTGAAGTCAGCAGCAGCAGCATGAATGTGTCCAAAAGAAAAAAATTGCCCAAAGATTGCTTTTAAACTGACTTTACAATGTTTTGTTTGTTCTAATGAAAATATACTAAAGTACTTGTTGTTTTCAATATCAAGGAAAGGCTTGAAAAAGCTGAAAAACAAAAAGATGAGCTCCTTCTTTTGAAACTAAGTGCTGATGAAAAGAGAGACCAGGCACAAGATGAGCTGAGAAAGCTAATGCATTTCGAAGAGGAGCAATATAAGGAAAGCATTATAAGAAAGGAAAACCAGGAGGTAATAAGAGAATTTACCCATGGCTATCTACATTTGGAGAAGAGCTGTAGATGTGTTCCTTGTAGGTTGGAGTACTTTCCCCTTTCAATCCAAACAGCTCCATCAGAACTACATTTTGTAGGGCCAGAATATTTAGCACATCATTTTATACAAAATTCGGAAGTTACATGATAAAAAAAATAAAAAATATCTTGCAGTAATTATTTGAAAGAATGCAGGCAAAGCTAAGACTTTCTACATCATAGGTAAAAAGTGATGGCTAACAGAATTTACCTTCACTTGGTCCAAGGCTCCCACTAACAGCACAGTCTTACTATTCGCTAAAGTCCACATTGTGTTGAGTGAGGTCATTCAGTTGCTCTATCAAATTACATAAAGAACACTTTAAAACAAAACGTAACACTCCTCATAAAAGCTTAGAGCATCCAGGAGAGTTAGTCATTTCTACATAACTGTAGAGAGCTTGCAACCCGAGAAAGCTTGCAGCTAACATAGCTGCATATAGACACAAAAGTTTACTTACCAAGGATGGCAAAGTTATCCTCTGCTTCCTTTTAGAATTAGTTGGTAATTGTCCTTGGGGTATGTAATCTAGGCATTTGGAACATGAGTGGTAGGCAGTGAATTCTTCCTAGACTGTCAGGGGCTGATGGTTGTCGCTTATCTGGGAGAGAGATTTGCAATACAGTTTTAGATTTGACCTATCAGCTGTAGCTCAGAGGCTATTACTTCAATATCCCAAGGTATTTTTAATAATGATTTTCATGTAGATGATGTTCAAACCAATAAATGATGGATTTAATTTGTTTTGCTGGTACATTATTAATTTACAGAGAACTTCAGACATAGTAGAATGTAAGTAGCCAAATATATGAAATTCAAGCTCTTTGTCCTCATTTTCATGGCTCTACACAGTTTTGCCTCATTCTACATCTCTGTTGTTACTTCCGCCTTATGTTCCTCCCAGTCCTCTTACTTCACTGTGCCCTTTTTCTTTTTTCTACTCAGCTTTGTGCTTGTAACTACACCTGGAATACCCTGTCCTCATCCTACAAGTGCTGTCACTGTCCTCTTTCAGATCCCCACTTAAAACTCTCTATTTCAAGCAATCCTTTTTTTCTCTTATCAATAATCTATATCCTCTGTGCATTGTCATCATTCTGTGTCTTATCTTATTTGGAGCCTAATCCTGAAAACACTTTACACATGTGAGTAACTTTACATATGTACGTACTTCCAGCCAAAGTCAATGGGATTATTCATTGGTAAAGTCACTTAGATGCACAAGCATTTGCAGAATCAGGCTCTAAAGCCCAAATCCTCTGCTGTACTCATTCTGCTCTTTGGGATGTCTCAGAGAGCTACTGTGGCTCTCTGATCATGGATTCATAGATTTTAAAGTCAGAAAGCACCTTTATGATCACCTAGTTTGACCTGCACAAGACAGGGCATAAACCCTTACCCTGTAATTTCTACATCAAACCCATAACTTCTGTTTTCAACATCAACGGTAGATATTAGAGCAATCTGGGAACTGTTGTAAATGCCATGAGCTGATAATGGCACTAAAGGAGCCACCCAATAGTTCAGGATAACTGGAGCTCATCACTTCTGCCATGTCCCCTTTCTAATCTTGATGTGCTCCCTACGCCGAGCACCGCAAGACAGCTAGCATGGGAGCTGGTTACATTGGCTTTATCCCACTCAGGATTCCCCTACACCTATGAAATCCCCAGCTGTAGAAATGCAGCTGATTTCTGCTCCCTTTTTACCTCTTGAGTGGTATAAAGAGAGTGGAGTGGGAGGGGGCCAGGAACTGGCCCTCAGTTTCTAAATTCTTCAGGACAGGGAATATAGATTATCTAGGACCCCATCCTGCACATGAATAATTTAATGCACACAGTTAATTTCATTGAACTAAACAAGGCTGTTCACATGTATAAATTCCTCTTGTGTATATGAAAGTTCAGGGCCTAACTGTGTAAAGTGCAGTGTAAGTTTATGATGGTATGTAAATGTTTCTGAAATCTTACTTTTCTCATTTAAGTTGAATGAAGCTGTTCCTTGGACAGCAAACTTACCTACTGGATAGTAATTTGTACCATTGCTTTAATCTATCTCATAATTGTTCATGCCATTGATAGTTGCGTGGTTGGTTATTTTTAGCAAAAGATTAAAAACGGAAATTCATTTTCCAATTTCTAGGGCCTACTACTTTTTACTGAAGTCCAGAGTTTGACTCTTCTACATATTATGCATTTTATATATATATATTTTTGTAATCTGCAGAGAAATCTTACTGTAGTAAAGCAACAAAATATTGAGCTGCAGAGGGAGATTCAGAAGCTCAGAGATGACATTGCAGCAAAGAGTTCAAAGCTTTCACAGGATTTTCGGGTAATTGCTATTTGAAATATTTACAATATAGCTTTCAAATGGACATATTTTACTTCTGAATTTCTAAACTCTACGGGCTAGATCATCAGTTTTGTAAATCTGTGTAGCTCCATTGAGTTCAGTATGAAATTCAGCTATTGCTTTCCTTCTCATTCTCTATCTGGCAAAGTTAATAAATGTACTTGATGCTGAGGGGAAAAATGGAAATGTGAAACTGGAAGATACAAGAAAGAAAGAAAGATCAGGACAAAATTGAAAGAAAAAGAAAAAAGTGCATAACATTTTCATGAGTTCATATTTTATATCTCTGTCAGAAAGGGGTGTCGAAAGAAAAGGGACTTGTCCATTACAGAAAAAAACATGATTGTAACTTTAGTTTTCCCAAATTGCATGTAGCCTAATTTTGATCTCCCTTATAGCATGCAAATCATTTGAAGTCAATGGAGTTATATTGGTATAATATAGGTGAGTTCAGAATCAGAACTCTCTTTTGGCTACACTGCTGCAAATGTTATGAAGCACTGTAACATTCATGTTTATTTGGCTAAGTTAGTAACATGCAAGGCAATTTTAGCAGGCCTCCTATCACCAAAGAGCTACAGTCAATACAGCACAAACAGTAACCATAAACTGCTTTGTGATATCTGCTTTTGCACAATGTTTTGTACTTCCTTTGGTGTTAAAAGTTCTACAAATCAAAGCTCTGATCCTGCAGGTAGAATCCCTATTTACTTCAACTGGAGTTTTAGTACCTAAGGACAAGTTTGTGCTCAAAGTTCATTGGAGAGGAAAAGTAAAAGCTTACAGACCAAACTCCTTAGGGGGACATAGGATCCAAGGGAGGTTGGGGAATCCCCATCACTGGAAGTTTTTAAGAACAGAATAGACACACACCTGTCAGGGATGGTCTAGGTTTACTTGGTCCTGCTTCAGTCCAGTTACATCAGTGGTGAATTCAGCCCTACTGTATATTAGCCTTAAAAAAAAAAAAGAATACTGCAGAGTGAGGCAAGATGCATACTGTACATTTTTTCAGTTGCTTAATAAATTATTTAAACGTTGTCATTTCCTGTCTTGATCCTACAATATTAGATTAAAAGAGAGATACAGAAAAAGACAATGAAGTTTACTGGGATGAAAAATGCTGAGAGTGATGACACAGTTTTGAATACTTGCTGCCTTTTTCACATAGCTGCAAAAATTCCATTCAGATTGCAGCAAAGACAAGCTCTTCTCACTTTTGAAGAGGAGGATGGTATGGTCCATATTTTAATTATAACTAGTAATGTATTTCACGTTAACAGCAAGGGATATGGGGTTAAACAACAATTTATTTGATCAGCAGGAGGGCTTACTAGCTTGGGTTTCCAGGGCTGGAGGGGGAACCTGCTTACAGTGAGTAAGAGCACCAGAATCTGGCTCTCAGCCTAGATGCAAACGTTTTCATGGTATCACAAATAAAGTTTAAGAGTAGCAGCCGTGTTAGTCTGTATCTGCAAAAACAACAGGAGTACTTGTGGCACCTTAGAGACTAACAAATGTATTTGAGCATAAGCTTTCGTGGGCTAAAACCCAAATAAAGTTGAAAACAATATTGAGACTATCCCACTTTCTCTACATTCAGAGCCCAGTCACTCAGATGGATGCACAGAGTTAGACAACTGCACCTTGTGAGAGTAGAATTTTGCCCACTATGTCAGCATCAGCTCTAGTCCAATTAAACTCAGCTGACAGAATACCAACAGTCTACCCTCAATTACATAGATCCTACCTCACAGAGGGATGAGGCCTGATCTACAGCCCATGGAGATCAGTGCAGATTTCAGTGGGCTTTGGATCAGTCAATGTTATCTTTCACAACATTAATGTACAGACTTATAGTCAATATTAGTAAATCCATGCCAATGATATAGGGCAGTTTTCCCTACATCAGCCTCCTTCAGACACAGCTGTGCCCCATTAAAATGCAGGCAACCCGAGCCTACAGTAGAGTTGGAGGTTAGAACTAGTTGATCCAGATTTAAATTAAACAGAATAGTTTGTCTGCAAACTAGTAAATAAAATTTCACATAAAGCAAGAGCCTGCCTTATTTCTCAATTAACTCTTAGCTGGAATCAAAATGTTTCATACTGGTAGCGATTTAGCCATAATATTGTATATAGGGATAGCATCTTTCATACTGACAATCCTAAAATACTTTACTAGTGATGCACATTACATACAGTGGCGAGATTTTTAAAAAGGTATTTTAACACGTAACGAAGCAGATAGGTGCCTAGTGGGATTTTCAAAAGCACTTAGGCACCGCACTCCCATTTATTTCACTTTTAGTGATGCTAAAGAGATTTTTGGCTAAGGGCACTAGGGAGTACTTTTCATTAGTGTAAAGCTACCTGAAAATCTTCTTAATTTCCCTTGCAGTTGCCCAGAAACTGATAAGAAGAGGTAAGCATACTGTGAGCCTGGATAATGAAAAGATAGAGTTGAAAGCAATGCCGGTTACACTAGAAACAGGAGTCAAATTTGAGGTAATTGACAGGTCAATATAAAATCTTTTGAGATACTTCAAGAATATGTACCTTTGTTTTCAAAAACTGTATCGAACGGGTACTGTAGCACATAAAGAAAATAAAGTCTGTTTTTTGTTAGCTCCATGTCACAATTTCTGGAGAGAAGATCAATATTTCTGAAGTACCAGATCTACCAATACCTGATGAGTGGATCAGAGATAAATTAGAATTGAATTTCTACAAATCCAAACAAGGAGGAGGAGAAGTAAAGGATGTGAGATATGACAGAAGGTCTCGCACAGCCATTATTACATTCCTCAAACCTGGAGGTATTTTATGCAACATCTTGTTAGCTAAAGTTACAGGGCCTGATTCTCCACTCATCTATATTGTTTTTGCCCTGGTGGATCTGCACGGACTTCAGCTGAATTATTCCTTATTTATTCAACTGTAAATGAGAAGAGACTCAGGCCCATAGGTCTTTAAACACAGCTGTGTTTAATCACATTCCTTTTGGATCAAATATGAATTCATACACAGCTTGTAAGCTTTGATATTTGCCCTCACATTACAGTATTCAAAACTTCTTTTGCCTTTGCATTACTGGACTTCATTTTACAGGAAAGAGAAAAGTGGGAAAATATACTTGTCATGTCATGCCATTGAAAGTTACCCAGATTCTCAGCTGGTGTCAATGGGTGAAACTCCACTAAAATCAGTGGATCTGCATTAACTTACATCAGCTGTAGATTTGATCCATGAACTTTAGTGGACAGTTAATTAACATCTGTTTTGTCACAAATGTCAATTCCAATTTCCAAATAGTAAACTTTAAAAAATTGTATTTGGTTTCTAACTATATACTAAAATGATTGGTCTTGTTTCTGATGTGCTTAAAAATACACCTTAGATAGTATTAATTTTATTTCTCACTTTTGAATTCTTTGTTCTAGTTGCTGACAACTGTATGAGACGTACAAAGCATCCTTTCTGCATAAATGAAAAGCGCTTTATGCTTTCTATTTCCCCAAGCATAGAAAAGCACTTGGAAAAATTTCAGGTAAATTAATCTTAATGACGCTACATCCTAAAACAGAGCAAACAATCTGTGCTCTGGGAGGGTGGATTGTGAACAGAATCTTCTCCTCAGGTCACGGAGTGTCAGGAAAACGGCTGTAGTTCTCAGAGCTGCTGTTTCTCCCTCATTTTAGGTGGGTGTATACAAGAACTTGCTGGTGAATTCCCATTGCTGTAGATCTACCAGCCTGGCCTTAGGCTCCTCTGGGGCACAGGAGCTGTGTGCTTTACAGATTGTGGGGAGTGTTCTCTCCTTGCAGAGAGTCCCCCATAGCCTGTTCCTCTGTTGATGAGCTTATGACCTACAATATGAGGGTTGTAATTCACTCAGAAATTACAAATGCTTTTTTCATCATATGTCACAGCAGTAACCATGTCTGTCTACAGTCAGGGCAGAGATAAGGTTCCATCAGGTGTTTTATGGCTTAATTGTTCTCATTTAAGTTACACACAATTGATGAATCAGTGTCCATATCAAAAAAGCACTACTAAATCTAGCATTAATTTAACCCCTCATTGCCTGTGCTGTGGTTAATGGGTATATTATACCAACATTTCCAATCGACCTAAAAGCACCCACAAAGCTTTTACAAACAGTAAGTCCTCTTTGCAAAACCCCACAGTTCATGTATATCAGCGAATTCTCTGTAAGCTGTTTTTCTCTGCATAAAGTTTTATCCATCTACCTATGAGGTTAGAAATGATTTCTCTATGCCCATATTTACAATATGCACTCAAGTGTGTATTGGCCCAGATGCAAATATCCAGGATTGTTTGTCTTAGTATTGTTCTTTATACCTTTCAACAGTACTTATTCTGTAGGGTCAGTACCTTTCCTCCCACCCCTCCCCTGGGCTTGCATAGGGTATGTTAGTAAGTGTACCAGGTTCCCAGTTCTCTCTGCTGAGGTGTGAGCGTGCATATACACAAACCCCCAGGTTAAATCACTGGTCCTAACCTGGCTAGAGAATGTTTTCTCAACATAACTCTGTCAATAAGGAAAAAAACACAACATGTTATAAACACGGATGCTGCTGTGTCACAGACCTGTCTGAGTGCATGGTGGTTCTTATAGTGTAGATAGATGCATACACCATCTCAGTTAAAAATGTGCTTTTCAGGTTGCAAGAAATGATATATTTTGAAGTTAATAAGGAATCAGATCCCATGTCTGGCGTAAACTGGTGTATCTGCATTGACTTAAATGGAGCAATGTTGATTTACATCAGTTGAGAATCTGGCTCACTATGTTTCAGTGAAGAGTTTAGGACACATGAGCTAAAGAGGCCAGATCCTGCTTTTACTGAAGTCAGTAGCCTGACTCTATAGAATTCAAACCTTCCAGTGATTTCAGTAGTAGACCAACACTATAGTAGAAATCCTAAAATGAAAGGCAAGCTTGTAGCGATATCTTCACACTGACATTTTAACTGTGCAACCTACCGGTTCCTAAAACTGAACATACAATGTGTGTTTTCCTCCTTACCAGGTATTTTCTGGGATTTCCAAGAGGACCATACTGCTGTCAGAAATTCAAGAGGTTGAGGAGGATGAGGAGAGCATGCAGGATATGATAGAAATTCATTTTCAGAAGCCTAGCAATGACGGCGGGGAAATCGAGAACATCAAATATGTAGCAACAGGAACTAAACTAGCATATTTTGAGGAAGATACTGAGAATGTGGCATGAAGCTTTACCGCTGGGGCTTTTACTTTGCCCAGTGTGACATAGTATAATGGAAAAATGTTGCAGACTTTTAGTCTTTTTAATATCTGTGCTTTTTAATCTTCAAAATTTACACTTGAAAAGAAGAACTGCCTGCCTTTCCTTCCTTTCACCTGCATGATGACAAGACTCTTAGAGTATGTCTACACAGCCGTTAAACACCTGCTGCTGGCCTGGATCAGCTGACTCAAACTCAGGGGGCTTGGGCTGCAGGGCTGTAAAATTGCGATGTAGATGTTCAGGCTCAGGCTGGAGCCCAGGCTCTGGGACCCCACAAGGTGGGACAGTCCCAGAGCCTGAACATGTACACTGCAATTTTAAAGCCCCACAACCTGAGTCAGCTGACTCAGCCTAGCCTCTCGTATTTAACTGCTGTGTAGACATACCTTTACGGTCTCGAGAGCACAGCTATGTGAAACTCACTGGTTCTGGCTTGCTGAGGTTCCTTGTAAAGTTCAGCAATAAATATTACACAAAGCCGAGATCTCCGTGCAAAACTCATCTGAAACCTTAGAGTTTGCTTAATATACGTGGGTCCACCAAACCCCTTAATCCCTCACCAGCACCTGAAACTTGATCAAGGTTGCTTTCTGCAAATCAGATGTGAGTTTTGCATGAATAACAAAACCCAAAACTTGATAGATTTTTCCTACTTGAGGTTTTTGTTAGGAAAGCTTTACATCACTGCTCAAAGGTAATTTAAAGTGTTTCTCCTTCATACAGTGTATAGCCCAATAGGACTCCAATCCTGATCAGATCCTTTGGTGCTGCCATAATACAAGCAACTGATAATTATTCTGTAACTTTATAGGACTCTATAATCAAATTAGCTATGGAATGTCCATAATGAAGAAAGTGATATGTAGTTTTTCAAATGTGCTTATGATCAAAAAGGGGAGTGTTCAAAAATGGCACCAGTGTACTCATCAGTTGACATCTGTTGGGCTAAGTTGTGCCTTTAAGGAACAGCTCGGAGCTGGTAGCAAATGGCATGGAGGTAATCTTACTCCTGGGGGAATTCTGGGCCACTGCACATGCTCAGAATTCATGTGTCCCACAGAATTTTATTTTTCCCCACAGACAATACTTTCTACCCCAAAAGTGCTGCAGTTCTGCCTTTCGCTCACCAGAGGCCACTGTGGCACCAGAACAGCCAACAGCATGAATGCAGCAGGCTGTTCTGGTGCCACAGCGGCCTCTGGTGGACAAAAGGCAGAACTGAAGCACTTCTGAGCAGAATGTATTTTTTGTGGGGGAAAAAAAATTCTGTGCATGTGCAGTGCCACAGAATTCCCCCAGGAGTAGAAGTTCATCACAGCACCTGGCCCGTGGAGCCAGGTTAGGACAGAGTGGGGCACATGGGGCTGCTGGGGGATCACAGACGAGTTCAGAATGGCTAGTGGGGAGGACAGATGGGGGGCTAGTGGGCTGTGGAGCTAGGGGGGTGACAGCGTTGACCCAGGGGTTGAATGGGAGTGGGGGTGCATAGCCACATAGGGACAGGGGCTGCAGGGACCTATCAGGATGGAGGGATGCGAGGACAGGGACAGATGTGCCTGATTGAATGGGAGAGGCTTGTGATCAGCCAGGGTCTGCATGGGGGAGGCTCCCTAACAATCCTGCCCTCTCCACCCCCCCAAACAAACAAAAAACTTCTCCCACCCACACCCAACAACCCTTCAGGTTCACTCCAGGCTCCTTCCCGCTTCCTCAGCTCCTCTGTTACTCCTGAAACTCCAGAGCTTTTGCACTGCTTCTGACGGGTGCAGGAAACACAGTTCTGTATTGTAATTTAAATGAATTACTCAAAGTTCTGTATTAATATGCCTAGTAAGGAATCTGTTTATAAAAAAAAAAGTAATTACCAGAATCTCTATTCTTTTGGTCTGTATTGTTACAGACATTCTTACTGACATATTTTGAAATAAATTACCAAAATAATTGAAACTGCCATTATATTGTATTATTTTGACAAATAAAATATGAAGAATTTTGCAGAATTTTAAAATATTGTGTGCAGAATTTTTAATTTTTTGGCACAGAATATCCCCAGGAGTATAATCTGCACTGCTGTTGGCATGTTGATACCTCTTCTGGGGCCTGATCCAACACCTACTGAACTCTTTAGTGAGTTAATATGAGGTCTCTCTCTAGGAAGGATGTATTATTTATGAGAGGTCTGTTTCTTAACTATTTGTATCTACAGTTACACTATTCCTCAGTTATACCCATTATTTTGTCTAATTTAAACACATACAGATACTAGCTAAGAACTCAGGTGGCTCTTAAAACTATGTATAACAGATTATTATTTTGTAACCATACTGGAGCAACCATCTGGTTATGATTGCCTTGTCTGAGGATTTTATTTTGTGTGATCATGGCCATAGCCCTCTTTCTGAGGGCAGCAGTAAATGGATGGAGATGGCCAATTGGAAAAGGGGCATATGGAAGGCAGCACAGATTTCATTCATAGCCCTTGAATCAGGGACAAAAGGCAGAATTTATTGTCTTCATTCATATCTTAAATTATATTAAAAGTTCTTTGAACTGAATTGGACTTGCAAAGGGAGGGAGTGTCCTCTCTTCCCAAGGGGGGATTTATTGCCTCTCTCTTTTTCCTTCTCCACCCTTGTGGGGCTGGAATAATTTGGCAGTCTGTCATGTGGCAGCAGAAAACCTCTAATGTCACTTAACACGGAGGGAGGGGTTCATGTGAATATCATTTATTTTCATTATATAAAAGACCTTACTGTACAAAAGGGATTTTGTATTATACCCTGCAGGAAGACATTGGAAAATATACATCAGACATTGATTGTAGCTATAATATACAAAAAGTCAGATTTAGATTACACAGCCTTAACAAATGAACAACAAAATACATGGCTGTATATAGAAAACAAAAAATCAAGTACTGTCAAAGTTGGTTTTGTTTTCCTTCTGCTTAGAACAAAGAAAGGAAAAGTCTCCTCTGTTTGATGTGTGGAAAAAGCTTACATTGATTACACTAAATAACCAACATAAAATGCATAATAAACAAAGGCATGTGAAACTATGGGAGAATTGTGTACTTAGCAATTAGCTTTAAAAATGTCTTGATATTTTGAGGAGATGCTCTAAACTGCACAGAGAAAAAAAAGTGCATGAAGATCAACAACATAAACCCTATCACTGAAAAGCATTGAGATGTAAAACCTGAAGAATGAAGGTTTCAGTGGAAATTCTGACAAAAGTTTAAACATGGCAGGACTAGTGAAAAGGTGCAGATAAAAGTAACAAAGTAAAATCAAGAAGAGTTTTTAAGTAATACATCTTAAGAACCAGGTACTATTTGTGAATTTCTCAGTCTATTGATTATCCAGTTTAAAAGTGTTAAGTAGTGATTTTATATAAAGACAACGGGAGATCAGTTTCAAACAAAAAATAAGACCTTTTTCAGAAACAGTCATTTTTGATATTTCTTTCAATTAGGTGCTATTACCACCCATAATATTAAATAATGGTCAGATAATAAATTAAATACAGCCTTAGAAAACATCAGTAATAAATCCTTGTTCCTAAATGTCCTCATTATATGTCAGAATATTTAAAATGGAGAAGAAGAGTTAGAAGCTTTCTTCTCCAGGCAGAAATACACTAGACAGGCCACACAAACAAAATTCCTCCTAGGAAACACATGCTAGAATGGTTCCTCACTGGAGGGGAGTGTATTGCATGCACTTCACTCCATCAACCTGAGCTCTTTCAAGCAGCTGCCAGCAATGGGGGCTTTAGCGGGGAGCAAAGCCTGCATTCCAAAACCACCGTTTGACCTGGCCATGCACTAGGGCCCAATGGGTCAGAGTGGGGAGGCTCCTAACACTTTTGCCTTCTTGCTTACCTATACCGGGGCCAGCCATGGTTCAGCTCATAGGAAGCTAATGCAGCAGGAATAAATTAACAGCTTTCTTCTGTGCCATTGATACCAATGGGAGAAATTAAAGAACAATTTAATGGAAAGGGTTTCCCATCAATCCTACAGTGGTACCTAGGAATATGTTGTAGGTAGTGCTAGTTCAGACCTTATTAGCTGCAAATGTTTGAATTCCATTGGCAAGGAACATTCTTGCTGAGAGGATTCCTTTTCTGATCCATTTAGGAAAGGTGGTGTCATCACTGAGAGGGGTCAGAAACAGAACATATATTTAGTTTTTGGAGACAATCTAAATGATGTGATGGGGACTAAGTAATACAGTGATGGCCATCTTATAAATGTCTGTAATAATAATTAGATAAGATTAGGTAGCCACAGAATGGCTGCACACTCTTCCTATCCACTTATGATCTCATGAAATTGTTATTCTCCAGTGGAAGTTTAAAAATTCCTATATTTCTTCACTATGTTGCTAGGATGCAGCTGGCACCATGTTCAACAAAATGCCATTACATGCCCACCCACTGGATGTCAGAGTACTTCTGGCTTCCTGCACTTCCACATGACAGATGAACAATACCCACAGTCTGTATCTCTGCCATAGCATTCAGTTCACTCGCACTTGATTTATACATTATTTTATGCCCAATTGGTTTAACATGCCTGCCTTGCCTCCTCATGTCACCGCATTCATCCTTGGATTACTCCTTCCCGCCTCGTCCCTGTGCCCATCCTCATCCCACTCCCTCCCTCCTTATCGCCTCCCCCTCCTACTTAGCATCCTGATTTTAGTTTCATAGGTTTATTTGTGGATAGATCGATCTAGATAAGCAAAAATAAGCGTAGGACGGCCTGTGACAGTTTCACACCTCAGGGCACGTTAGATGACCGCCTGGTGTGCCGCAGGCCAGGCCGATGCTGCATCAGCTATGCCGTGCCCCTGTACCAGTACCTGGTAAGACACCCAGCTCCTATCAGTACCTGATTGTATGCTTCCTCTTTAGTTATAAACAACCCATACAAATCAACATGAAAACCGGGCACAGACACCAGAGTTAAAACCCAATCTCTGTGTCGCAAACCCCTTTAGTTTCTCCTTGGGGTTAAGGGTCACCTGTATCTCGGCTGTGTCCATCCACGGATGTCAAGCGACAGAAGCGGGCGTCGCTCCTCAGCCTCTCAACAGAAGCGGCCGCCTGCCCGGGGAGAGCTGTCAGCTGGGACGTGTAGTTGACGGTCCCCTTTTACAGCGCACTGTTCTCCCCCGATAAGGGGCGCAGGGTACTACAGTTCCCAGCAAGCATCGCGCCGAGACGGGCTGATGAATGCCAAGGCTGTCAGGGAAACCGAACTAAGAAGTGAAAGTAAAGCTGCATCGGGCTGTTGCACGGTCGGGGCCAGGCGGCCAGCGGTGCAGTCATGGCAAGCGGCTCGCACTGGGTGTGTTTCTTTTTATCGCGTGCAGCAGAGGGGCTCCGAGCTGGCCCGGCAGGACTTCGGGCTCGAATTAAGGGTAGCGGGGCTTTGGACGCGGGGGGCTGCGTGATGCATTCGTACCGAGCGCCGCGCTGCACGGTTCGCAAGAGGCTGAACCCGCGGAACGGCCCGGCCCTTCTTATAGCGCGTGGAAAACATCGTGGGTCAAATTCGGCTCAGCCTGCCCTCCAGTGCGCGTGACGCTGTTCTGGGGAAGAGAAATCTCAAAGGGGATTCACCCCGAGAAATCCCCCCACACCGTGCCAGGGCAGGAGCAGGGTTTGCCTCTCACGGGCCTGCCCCCCCAAAACTTGCTGTTCGTGGAGGAGCTGCAGGAGGTCAAGGCCATCCATGCAGAAGCCCCATGCCTCGGTAGCCTGCACTGGCTCTGGCTGCCCCTAGCCCAGCTGCTGGGCCCTGCAGTTGCAATAGGGCCTCGGAGGGGGAGGGACTGTATTATTTTTCCTGGCTAATTCCCCCTTGTCCCTACCTGCCTCCGTAACCCAGCACAGGAACAATATTCATCTGTTTTATATGCCGAAACAGTAATTGTGTGGTTTGAATGGATAACAGCACATGAAATTGCTCCAGGCCCGGTTAAATAACAGTCATTCTCTAGCAAGTTCTTTGTAATTTAAGGAAACACATTGAAAATGTGTACTAACCAAAGTGCTGGCTAGCTATTATTCCTTAGCCAAAGTAAACGGTCATCGTGGGTTGTATTAAACCTTTTCGAAGTTAGTGGGTGTAAGAGCCCTCTTTCATTCAGGCTAAATGTAAAGAAGCCATTAAGTCCCTCTGTGTAACTAGGTGGCTAAAATAACCCAACACACAAGCACATGACAAAATTTGAGTTAAAGCTGAACTGTATAGCTCAGCGGGTTTCCCTGGGGGCTACGGTTATCACCTGGCCGGTATTTGACAGGCCTGGCTGTTAAAAAAAAAAAAAAAAGATTTGCCAGAAAAATAATTAATTATGCCAGAGCTTTTTTTAATGTGGATCTAAAGATTTGCATTATCATCACAAAAAGAAAAGGAGGACCTGTGGCACCTTAGATACTAACAAATTTATTAGAGCATAAGCTTTCGTGAGCTACAGCTCACTTCATCGGATGCATTTATTTTCCACTGAATGCATCTGATGAAGTGAGCTGTAGCTCACGAAAGCTTATGCTCAAATAAATTGGTTAGTCTCTAAGGTGCCACAAGTCCTCCTTTTCTTTTTGAGGATACAGACTAACACGGCTGCTACTCTGAAACCTATTATCATCACAGTACACTGGGATAAAAGTTTGTGTCCAACTAAAGAGGCTGCAGGGTTCCCACTTCCGCAGTTTAAATAACAGATCAAAACTGTTGAAAACACAGCAGCTGTCTGTCCATCAACATGCAAGCGCACCGCCTATGTGTATGAGAAAGAGGGTTTGAGTCATTCAAGGGTGAGGAGACATGCAGTGTTATCAGTCTTATCTAAATACTGTACTTTAAATACTGTAAGTGGCTGTTGAAGGGGGGGGGCAGGGTTGTGGAGTTGCCTTGTGTTTGGGGTTGCAGTGGGCTTGCCTTGGAGCTGAGGTGCCTTTTTTTTTTCTTCATTTCAAAGGTGGTAACCCTACTAGGGACGGGTACAGCAAACACCTGTCACAGGGGCTAGGACATTGACTGGTAGAACTGGGGGGGGGGGGGAGGAGGGAGGGGGGATCTGTCATGAGAGAAACACAGAGAAGGCAGCAAGGGACCAGCCACAGCAGAACTGTTAGCACTATCCTGAGGGAAAAAAGCTAAGAAAGAGTGAGCTTTTGGGCCAAGTGCTGGCTAAAAGAGAGAGTTGGGACTGTGAGCAAAGAAATTGTCTTTTGCTGCTTGATTCCTGCTCTGTTCAGAGAAACAGGGTTTGTACATGTTATTGTAAACAAACAGGATTGCATTAGAGATACCTGAATCTATCATCAGTTTCTCCTTCTAGAAGAAACAAACTTCAGGGCCGCAACTTTGGTTAACCAATCAGGTCAAAACCAGGTAACCCTATATATACTTCAGCCAGCCAGAAAGCAGCGTGTTCATACAATCAATGTCAGTTTAAAACATGTATTTCTGTGCATGAGCTCTCTGGTTGACAAAAAGTAAAAGTCTGTTCTCAAGACGAGCAGAGTGCAATTTATTTATTTAGTGTTCACATAGCAAAGCAATAGCATTCTTAGTGGCCAAGTGGAGCTCTTGGAACACCACCACTAATTTGGCTAGCAGGCAGTCCTCAACAATGTGTATCATTGTTTGATCTGCACCACAGCTTGGATTGTCTTGAAGACCCCAACGCTGTTGATTGGCTGCACAAAGGCCTTGCCCATTCCGGAATCTGTTAAGAAGGACACACTGACGACTTGTCAGGTCAAAGACGGGCAGGCAAGCAGTAAGATGCAATAAGCAGAGTGCAACAAGCTAATGCTACAATAAACTGTTATTTTACTGTGTTAATATTCCATCAGCTAAATGACTAATGACTGCAATAGAATCCGTTTGGAAGAATCCATGCATTTGTGTGCAGCACCATTGACTTACATGGGATCCCACTGTAACATAGGAGTCTACACTTGTAGATCCAGTTGCAAAATCAAGGCTTAAATCTGTGTGTAACAGCGTAGCACCCGCCTCTCAAAAGTGCCCCCTCTGCTTAGGTTTGTCCGTGGTCTTTAGACAGTCCCAGCCTGGTATCAAGGCACACCCCGAGGGCTTCCTCTCTGGAGGCAATGGCTTTGCCATCTTGGTCTGTTCAAGCCCAAGTTTTCCAGTTGGGCTTCTTAGTCGTTCAGATCCCTTTTAGGGGGAGTTTACCACTGCCCAATTGTAGGCCTGTTCCCCAGTGGGGGGTGGAGAGGGACCCAGGCCTGCCCACTACTCTGGGTCCCAGCCCAAGGCCCCTAAGAATAGCAGTCATGCACAACCATGTCCCTTTAACTAACTGCCTTCAATTCGTGGACCACTTCCCCACAGCCCCAGCCACCACAAAAGCTTCACCCTTATCTCAGGGCTCATCTCAGGGCTCATCTGTGTTCAGGCCCAGCAGCCAACCAGGAGCTCTCTCTCATTCCCCTGGTCCCTGCTAGCACTGAGCTATACATAGTGCTGCAGCTCTCTTTGGCCAGCCAGGAGCTCCAGCAAAGAACTGTCTCTAGCTCTACAGCTCTTTTTTATATGTCCTTCCTGAGCCCTAATTGTCTCTAGTGATACAGCTCCTTTTATATGGCCTTCCTGGGCCCTGATTGGCTGCTTCCTGCAGCCTTTTTGATTGGCTTCTTCCTCTGCAGCCACTCTAGGCTGCTTGGAGGACACCTCTTTTGCTCTTTTCCTGGGATGGATGTGGCAGGACTCTGAGGCTCCAGCAGGGGTCCTCTGGGCCTAGTTTAGCCCATCACATTGTATCATTCAGATTATTTGATGAATATCACAGGATTAACAGTTTCAGTCTTGCAAATGCAAGTCTTAGCTTTCTCTTGACATTCAGGGCCAAATTCTTTGCTAGTATAAGTTGGCACAACTTCAGTGGAACTGCAGTAACTTATATCAGCAGTGAACCTGGCCTTTATTTTCCATTGATTCTTCTTCTGTAATTTGGCATTTATGTAAAAGCAAGATATTAGAATTTTGTGACACTATTCTTTTCTTTTCTTTTTCTTTTCTGTTCATGCAACCAGACAGCATTCTTTCGATGTACTGTTCCAACATGCATTACAAACAATGAGAGCATCTTTGTCTTGGATACCTTCTCAAAAAACATAAATGAATTAAAAGATGCAGCATCTATAATTGAAATAGCTTCTTACTTAAATATTGTCTTTTGAAATTAATTCCTGTATTGAAAAAATGTAGATATAAAAGTATTAATATTCTCTATGGCAGGGGACTCAAACTCAATTTACCTTAGGGCCAGTGCCAGTCCTCAAATCCTCCCAGTGGGCCAATAATGTCACTGAATATGGTGTTCAGAAAAGAAAATGTCTATATTGTATTTTTTATTTCAAATTTCTTAGGAATAATAAAACTGTCATACAACTTTATACAATTTTTCGCCTGCCAGAGAGTTTTTAGTGCTTGCGAGACACCTGGTAATGCTTTAGTTCTGTCAGTTTGTTGATGTTTGGCCTTCGTGAGTGAGCAGTTGAAACCTTCAGGATTGCAGCAAGGTGTGCATCAGATAGTTGTGTGCGGTATTTTGACTTGTTTATATTCATTGTGGAAAAAAGTGATGCTGCCTCCATGGCTGACTCTGCCCGGCAACTAGTGATGCTGCCTCCATGGCTGACTCTGCCCGGCAACTAATGATGCTGCCTCTATGGCTGACTCTGCCCAGCAACTAGTGATGATATCTCTGTCCCTCTCCCCCAGCCATGGGAGCTGTGGGGGGCGGCGCCTGCAGCAGACATTGCCCCAGCAGCATGACTGCATGTGTCTCTCCTCCGCAGGCCGCAGTGGGGAGGTTCTTGGGCCGCAGATGGCCTGCGGGCTGGGACTTTGAGACCCCTGCTCTGTGGTATCTCATTATTATTCACTCATTTCACTTCTTCAGCTTATGATACAATGGGGTCTACATTTTTTTCCCAGTGAAAGTAACATTTTAAAATTGTGTAGAATAGAGATATAAACTAATGGGATTCATGTTTATGCCCCAGTATCAAAATTAAACATAGTCACCTCAGTCCTCCTCTTGGCAGCAGTATACCATTATAGAGGCACAAATTCAAAATCTATTGATGGTGTTGCTTTGAAGAAAAATAACACTACTATTTAACTCTTATATATCACTTTAGAAGCATTATCAGATTAATTCATCCTCATATCTCCTTGTGAGGTAGATGATTCAGTATTGGTAGCTGCATGGTACAGATGGGGAACCGGCGGCCTAGATGTTAAGGACCCAAAGGCACAGAAGGGGTCAGTGTCAGACCTGGAACTTGGGAGTTATTTCCTCTCATTCTTATGGTCATACCACTAAACCACATTTTTTTGTGTGTGAGACCGCATATCTGTCTGATAACCTGGAGTGGCAGGTTCTTTTACGGATTCTTTATCGTAGAGAAGGAGCCAGTTATGGCTTCTTGACCCTCTTTTTGCCACAGTACTGGGCACAGGTTAGAGCAGCCTCAGGGCTGCTTCAGCATGCCAGCTGGCAAGGCCTCCTAAGGGACTGTCTGCCAGATGAGTGTTCTAGCCATGCCTCCTTCCCGCCTTCCCAATCCTGTGCCAGAGGCTATATAGAAGGTGCCAGTTCTGGCTGCTGTTTGCTTTCTGGGAACTCCCTCTAGCTCGGGAGTTGCCTGTCTCCAGTCCCATTGTGCTGTCTGAGAGTGGGGTAAAAATCTGCCCCACAATTTTATCAAGATGAACAAAAAACAAATTGGCTTATACTGAAGAAAATCACCATTTCATAAGTAAAACTTATAGCTCTTTAAATGTGAAGCCTGATCAAAATAGGGCTCATGTCTTCTCATATTAAAGCTTTCAGGGTGCACTGCTACGCTGTCATTGAATCTGGCTTCTGACTCCCTTTGGAAATAATAGACTGGTGGTCCACGTAGCTGTGAATCCATGTCAGTGAAAAATTATCATTCTGTGGCATGTTTTGCAGGCTTTATAACTGCTATGCTAGCCCTGGCTCTACCTTCTGCAGTGTAGATCCAGAAGAGAGCTTCTTACAGTAGTGTAAAGAATGTCAAGAAAAATTGAACTGGCTCACAGCCACTCAGAAATTATTGACACTTCATTCCTATAGATGGCTCCATGACGAAACACTAAATTATTTACTTCTCCTTAAATCAGTGAACTGTTACAAAACCTCTCTCTCCTGAACAGTAAATAGTAGTTGTGACACTGAGCCAGAAAGGGTTAAGCAACTTGCAGGCTAAATGACCCAAATTCAACCTTTAGAGATATATTAGTATATAATGATTGTATTTTTTGGTGTGTTGACATATATATTGTTAGAGATTGACAGTGTACCCAAATGGTTCCTGTCTGATGCTGTATTCTGTTAATTCAGAGGTCGAAAGGAGAAAACATTTAGATGAACTGTGAATGTAGTAGTATCATTTTCTTCATTTCTCTTTGAAGTTTGTAGTAAACTACCTATAAATGGCAGGAGATGGGCAGTTGCCTGATGCCAATCTGTGCAGCTAATTATGGGTGGTGCTTAGTAAATAGAAGGTTTTACTGCAAATCCACAATGCTTTATCCAAGGAATGCTTGCTATCGAGAGGCTGCCAGAGAATTATAAGAAGAACTCTAGGGCCCTGATCCTGTAACTCAGATCTGCTTAAGCTTTGTCATGGGAAGTTTGATTTGCAAGACTGAGATCTCCAGTTCGGATCACCCTGAAATTGGATGTTGGAATGTAACCTAAGGAACTTATTCTGAAAGAACTCTTAGCAGCTCTAAAGCTCACCATCTGTACTGTGAAAATGACCTAAGAATTTTATTCAGGTCTGTTTGTATAATGATCTTTTAACCAATACTTCTTTTTTCCCTAATAAATTTTAGTTTAGTTAATAAGAATTGGCTGTAAGCCTTTATTTGGGTAAGATCTGAATATTCATTGACTTGGTGAGTAATGTGTCTGGTACTTTGGGATTGGTAGAACTTTTTATATGATGAACAAGATTTTCAGTAATCCTTGTCATATTTGACTTGGCTGTCTGGGTAGGAGCTCAAGGCTGGATTGTTTAAGGGAACTGTATTTCTGGCTTCTGGGTAACCAGTAAGGTGTTGTAGAAGCTATTTTGTTGATGGTTTGGTGAATCTAAGTATTAGAACTATCCACTAGTTTTGGGGATTGTCTGCCCCATTCTTTGTACTTTGCCCTGACTGAGCAATCTCAGCATGGCCCCCCTTGGACTCTGGTCACAGTAGTACTTTCCAACTCTATTCACACACTCAATGTTGGAATCAGAAAATAGAACAAAAGTAGTCTTATTAATATCACACCAAATTCTGCACATTTTAGAAGCCATTTAAGTCTAAAAGTCTGCTTTTCACTTGCTCTGCTTTGGCATTTGAAGTTGATGTGATTTACACCACTAGTGTAAAAAGGCCTTAGGCCTGGTCTACACCTAAAATTTAGATTAACCGTGCTACATCTCTCAGGGCTGTGAAAAATATCATGCCCTGTGCAACAAAGTTAGGTTGACCAACCCTCCCATCTTGTAGAGGCAGCTAAGACAACAAAATTCTTCTGTTGACCTACCTACCATCTCTCTGAGAAGTGGATTATGTACGCTGTCGGAAAATTCCCTTCCTTTGATGTAGGAAGCCTGTACAGTACAGCGCTACAGTGCACAGCTGCAGCACCGTAGCTGTGCTTCTGTAATGTAGACAAACCTTTAATGTAAAGGAAAATTAAGCCTGGAGTTCTTTGGTGAAATGTTCTATGAGGTCTATGGAGAGAATCAAAAGTTTATTCAGCATTCTTCCTGCTGCAGGAATGGAAGGAGGTGTATTATGGATCTCTGCACAGGAGGGATGGTGTGACAGAGTGGATATCAGAGAGGTACTGGGAAATCTCTTCTGGGGAGGGAACAGCTAATGGCATAAGTCATTGCACGTATAACTTGTATTTACAGTGTGTCGTGTCTCTGTCCACAGGCCCCAGGACGAGCTGCCAACTCTAGGAAAACAGTTGTGGTCTCTGGTATTCCAGATGGCATTGTGAAAGATGATGTCATGGCTGACATATTGATGATTCATTTCCAAAAGACAAAGAATAGAGGTGGAGACGTGAAGGATGTAGTTTATCCAACAACAATAAAAGGAGTTGCATACATAATCTTTGAAGATCAAGAAGGTATTCATATTAACAAATAACATAACTGTAACCAAGAAATAAGAGTATGTAATTTAGAACATTAAACTTAAAACACTACACATGAACGCCCTCATATTAATCCCAAATTTTAAGATTTCCTCTTGTTTATTAAGGGCAAAAATGTGAATAGGCTTCATGCAGCGTATTTGTGTCTTTTAAGACTAGTAAAAGAATAAATCTATAACCTGCATAGCAGATGAGATTTTTATAGTCAAGCCTTGGGGAATAAATCTCTGCCAATTAATGTTCTAAGGAGACAGGCTGCTCTCTCTCTCCTCTGAACAATTTTGAGAAATACATAAAATATCAGGCAAGAATACTGAGCAATGGGGAAATTGCTAGGGAAACCATCAAGAGAAACACATGTATGAAGTATTCCAACCATCAGTCAGGAAATAAAACATTATCATCCTCTTGCAAAACAAAGTGAGTCTGAATTTTCTTCTCAGTTACAGAGAATGTTCTCCAGAAAGATGAACACAGACTAGAGGACAAGAGGTTGGGCAGGTATTATCCTCTGAAAATATCTCTCTATAGTGAACACGTAAGTGCTTCCATCATAGCGTCCTAATGGTGTGGTCATGCCTCTGGTGCACTTATTAATTGCTTTTATTTTACACGTATAGGTCTTCACCTGTGTCTCATCTGTTCTCGATTTGTCCATTTTTGGAGATAAATACATTTTGGAAGATCTGGTGCAGGAGCTTAAGAAGACTATCCCAGCCTTGAGCTTCAGTCCTTTGCAATCCAATGGACAAATTTCTGTTCAAGGGTCATTCCCAGCAATCAAGACACTAAAAGACAATTTGTTATTAAAAGCAAATTCCCTTTCAGGGAAGGGCAAGAGGGGAGAGAGAAAGCCAGATCAGAGACCTAACATCAGGATCCAGAAGTGTGGACTATTTGTAGAGCCAAATAATACTTTTGTCCATAATGTAAACAGGAAAGAACAAGTGGTTGTCCTTGACACAGATATATACTACTACATGAAACATTTTTTATACAAGGAAAGTCTGGCAAAATACAATGTTGTAAGTCATGGAGTCACAGATGGTGAGATCACCACAGTATATCTAGAAAATGCCAGAGCAAGTTCTGATTCTAGAGAATTAGAAAGGGCCAAAGAGGGAATTGAAGATTTGTCTGCAAAACTTCACTGCAGATTACGTAAAGAAAGATTCTCTCTTGATGGCAACACCAGACCTGAAAGGCAGAAATATAAACAGGCATGTGAAAGCATAAAATCCCGATTCCCCAAAGTTCTGGTTATTCCTTATGATACTCACATTGATGTGATAGGAAGTTCCTCTGAGACATATGAATTTACCCAAGAAGTGAATAGAACAGTAAAAAGCCACTTCCAAAAGAGATTCAGGAGGTAGAAGTCATTTAGGTGCTGTAGGTGATGCCTGCGAGCTAGGAGTTCGTGAGAATGACATCTCTTACACCAAAGTACAGTCTCCCAAGGGCGTTGATAGAAGCCCTATTACTGGGGACCTTTTATAAAGGATGTTTTGCACTTCTGTAATTTCCAGCTGAGGATTTCAAAGCACTTTGCAAACTTCAATTAATTAGGGCCCAATCCTGCTCCCATTAGAGTTTTGCCATTGACTCCACACAGCACCCTAATAGTATTAGGAGCCTCATTTCACACACTGTGGCTCCTCTATCACTAAAAGAAAATGCAGGCCCTTCTATATCACAGGTGATACAGTCCTACAGTATGTGCACAGGCACTTCTCAAAGCACAGGAATCATGGACACCAAGACAAAAGTCCCAAATACTAACTTAAATTTCAAACAAGTAGCAAATGTCCTCTTCATGCATCTGGTGAAATTAAAGTGCGTAGAAGTTAGTTTTCGTAGTGAATGGACCATCCCTGTTTTATGGTCTCTATGCATCACAAACGAGTGCCTCTTGTGGCTGTATTAACATACACTCTTTTTATGCAAGTTTTTGTTTAATAAATCACTTAGTTTTACATGTAAAACATGTTTTGATAAACTTTTTTCTTTCTATATGCAGCAAATTTAAAGTAGTTTTATTTAACCAATGAAAAAAGTAAATGCTGTTTTTGTGCATAAATTGAATTCTAATTTCCATCCACATATATCTTGACAGAAATTATAAGTAAAAAATTAATCATAATCTAGTAAATAAAAAACATGCACCAATCACTATTTTGTAACCAAAAAATGGTGCAAATTAGGAATCTGAATAAATTTATGTTAAGCTACATAGGCTCATTGACTCATAGACTTTAAGGCCAGAAAGTACTACCATGATCATCTAGTCTGACCTCTTGCACATTGCAGGCCACAGGACCTCACCTACCCACTCCTGTAATAGACCCATAACCTCTGGCTGAGTTACTGAAGTCCTCAAATCATGATTTAAAGCCTTCAAGTTACAGAGAATCCACCATTTACAGTAGTTTAAACCTGTAAGGGACCTGTGCCTCATGCTGCAGAGGAAGATGAAAAATCCACACAATTCCTTAAATAACTGTGTAAAGATACAGTGTATCCTCCTGGTTAGCAGAAAGAAGTAGCAAATTTAATGTAAAGGCTCTAATTGCAAGTTGCAAGTAAACATATTTTAATGGTTTCCAACCAACAAGAATTAATCTTTCTTTAGGAAAATAACTAAGGTACAAATGCAAAAAAAAAAAAAAAAGATTAAAATCACTTATTTAAATCAAGGTTTCCTTCTTGGTGGTTTAAATTGCTTTGCTTTAAATCAATCCACCTTACCTGAGGCAGAGAGTATATTGAGGGCGGGGAAGAAGGGATTTTTAAGTGTTTAAGGAATAAATAAGAGGCCATTCAGATACTATAAGGGATAAACCAAGTAGGTATTGATTATCAGAGAGGAACCTGGGGATACTGTATATTTGTTTGTGTTAGCAGGTAGCTACAGAGAACGGGAACATTGTTACCTGCCTTTGGTGTTCTCCTTGCAGGAGAAGCTCCTTGTGATAGAGACACACCCAGAAGGTGGAGCTTTTATACCTGGGAAGGGTGCATGAGCTCTGACCCCAGAAATGTAGTTTAGTGATTGGTAGTCATTTTGTAGAAACGTTTCCTGTTTTTTCAGTCAGCTAACCCAGCCTCCCACATTCAAAATGCATATTAGGCACAGATAAGTGATAATTGGCCTTATTTTCACAGGACTATTGAACTCTCACTGACAGGCAGCTGCAGCTGCTCAGCATCTCTTACAATCAGACCAGTTATTTGAATATCTCTAAGTTTTGGAATGAAAGTGTTGGTCACTGCATTTAGACTCCTGGCTTTGCTTCTGCTTACGCAGTTATTGACAATGCAGTGAAATGGACACTGCACTGGGCAGCACAGCATGGGGAAGAGGTGACCAGCCCTCTGTGGAGAAAGAAGTGGTTCGGGACTATTTAGAAAAGCTGGACGAGCACAAGTCCATGGGGCCAGATGCGCTGCAACGGAGAGTGCTAAAGGAGTTGTGGAGGTGATTGCAGAGCCATTGGCCATTATCTTTGAAAACTCATGGCGATCGGGGGAAGTCCCGGACGACTGGAAAAAGGCTAATGTAGTGCTCATCTTTAAAAAAGGGAAGGAGGAGGATCCTGGGAACTACAGGCCAGTCAGCCTCACCTCAGTCCCTGGAAAAATCATGGAGCAGGTCCTCAAGGAATCAATTCTGAAGCACTTAAAGGAGAGGAAAATGATCAGGAACAGTCAGCATGGATCCACCAATGGCAAGTCATGCCTGACTAATCTAATTGCCTTCTGTGACAAGATAACTGGCTCTGTGGATGAGGGAGAAGCAGTGGATGTGTTGTTCCTTGACTTTAGCAAAGCTTTTGACACTGTCTCCCACAGTATTCTTGCGAGCAAGTTAAAGAAGTATGGGCTGGATGAATGGACTATAAGGTGGATAGAAAGTTGGCTAGATTGTCGGGCTCAACGGGTATTGATCAATGGCTCCATGTCTAGTTGGCAACCGGTATCAAGTGGAGTGCCCCAAGGGTCGCAGATAACACTAAACTGGGAGGAGAGGTAGATAAGCTGGAGGATAGGGATAGGATACAGAGGGACCTAGACAAATTAGAGGATTGGGCCAAAAGAAATCTGATGAGGTTCAACAAGGACAAGTGCAGAGTCCTGCACTTAGGACTGAAGAATTCCATGCACTGCTACAGACTAGGGACCGAATGGCTAGGCAGCAGTTCTGCGGAAAAGGACCTAGGGGTTACAGTGGACGAGAAGCTGGATATGAGTCAACAGTGTGCCCTTGTTTCCAAGAAGGCCAATGTCATTTTGGGATGTATAAGTAGGGGCATTGCCAGCAGATCAAGGGACATGATCGTTCCCCTCTATTCGACATTGGTGAGGCCTCATCTGGAGTACTGTGTCCAGTTTTGGGCTCCACACTACAAGAAGGATGTGGAAAAATTGGAAAGAGTCCAGCAGAGGGCAACAAAAATGATTAGGGGACTGGAACACATGACTTATGAGGAGAGGCTGAGGGAACTGGGATTGTTTAGTCTGCAGAAGAGAAGGATGAGGGGGGATTTGATAGCTGCTTTCAACTACCTGATAAGGGGTTCCAAAGAGATTGGAAGAGATCTAGACTGTTCTCAGTCGTAGCAGATGACAGAACAAGGAGTAATGGTCTCAAGTTGCAGTGGGGGAGGTTTAGGTTGGATATTAGGAAAAACTTTTTCACTAGGAGAGTGGTGAAACACTGGAATGCGTTACCTAGGGAGGTGGAGGAATCTCCTTCCTTAGAAGTTTTTAAGGTCAGGCTTGACAAAGCCCTGGCTGGGATGATTTAGTTGGGGACTGGTCCTGCTTTGAGCAGGGGGTTGGACTGACCTCCTGAGGTCCCTTCCAACCCTGATAGTCTATGATTCTATGACACATATTTCCACAGCAAGTCATCACATTCAGCAGTGAATCCTGTGAACAAGAGAGGAGTAATAATTTCCTGTACAGATGTAAGCAACCTCAAAATTGTACTGAAAAGTAACCAATCACTCTAATAATTAATTACAGAAACTAGGGATGGAAAAGACCTTCATGTCATATTGTCCGTTATCCCCCATGCCAGTGCCTGATTGTTTCTGGCTGTGTTTTACAGTTCAGTTTTAAATGTTTCAAATAGTGGTGTTTCTACCACATTGCCAAGGAAATAACTCCACGATCTAATAGAAAATTAGTTAATATTTTAACGTTTAGTTAAATATTTTCTGGGTCAGAGATCCTAGGAGCAGTAACTGCCTCTCTCTGTGCATTTGTACTTTCCTAGCAAAAGGGGATCTCATTCTGATAGTTGTCAATGCATATAATTAACAATAATCATAATATTTGTATATGCTTGGAATGTAAAAAAACTGTACAAGTGCTTACATTGTTCTACGATGCCTGTCACCTTGGTATCTGAGGCTAAGTATAAGTCTTAGTTAAAACTGTGTCAGAGCCATTACTAAACCCATCTTTTAGGGCTTCATCATAAAAATTAATGGACTTTGTCACTTAATGTGGTGTAATGATCTTTTGCAAATTTGGCTCTCTCAGTATCCACTGTAGTGGAGAAGCAGGGGAGAGTGAGTTAGGTTTTTAAATAGTTTTATACTATGTAATATAGGAATGTACATAATGGTTTGTCACAACAAGACAAAACTACCCAGTGTGTTATATTTTATATCTCTTTTATATTATTTTGAGGGTGCATCTATCGGTAGATACTCAAATTATTAAAGACAGTAACTGTGCACTTTTAATGGAAAATAAAATTATTTAAAATCCTGTGGGCATTTCCCTTTAAAAGAAACAAATAAACAAACAAAACCCCCCTAACTTTGTGCTTTTGGTATTTTCTTGCCATGACAAACTATCAGCCTTACTTATCATGAAAATGGAAGGTCCAGTTATTATGTTTTACCAAACCAATGCCATTGTGGTGCATGACAATTTACAGTCAAGGAAGAAGACAAGGATAAGAATGAGCTTAAGTACTTTGCTGTATCACAGTCTCAGCAGGGATGGAAATTATAGAATGTTTTGAAAAGATAAATTCCGTTCATATTTGTGCTCATTTCCACTACTCAGACTGTAGTTGTTTTTCTCTTTTTACATAATTTTTAATATATTCATTTTTTCTCTACCGTAATTTATATAGAAAACCTATCTTAAAATTTCACGTTTTTGTCTTTATGGCATTCCTGTTTCTTATTTCAGTTCATTGTTTGTGTAGAGGTGTTTTCATTGTATTTAACTTACATTATAAAAATAATTTAAATTCCTTGAAAAGAATAAAGAATTTAATAAAAATTGCTACTTCAAATAACTGTGGGTCAAATCCAAACAATATCAGTGATTCTGTCTCCCTTACAAATCAGATGTCATTTGAACTATGATTTAGAAACAGTTGCATAGCCCATCCTGCTGTCTTTATGGTCTTTGTTACATGGTATATATTTATTGCAATTATATATAATAGGGTTTTCTTTTTCTCTCTGTACATTTGAAAATAGTAATTGAAACTTTTGAACAGACAGCAAAAGGGATGCAATCAGCGGAGACAAAGGAACTAGAACACAAGGAATGAAATTCACCCAGGTAGTAAGGACCAGAGAAAGCCCTCCGTGAAGCTGAGATGAGCGTGTGGGGGGGTTGAGGGAGGGAAGTTCCATTGCACAGAGGGTGAATGGCTGAGGAGTTGGTATAAGAATGGCCAGACTGGGTCAGACCAATGGTCCATCTAGCCCAGTATGCTGTCTTCTGACAGTGGTCAATGCCAGATGCCTCAGAGGGAATGAACAGACAGGGCAATTTAATGAGTGATCTATCCTGTTGTTCAGTCCCAGCTCCTGACGCTTACAGGCTTGGGGACACTCAGATTACGGGCTTGCACCCCTGACTATCTTGTGTAATAGCCAATGATGGACCTATCCTTCATGAACTTATCTTTTTTTTTTAACCTGGCTATAGTTTTGGCCTTCACAACATTCCCAGGCAACAAGTTCCACAAGTTGATTGGTTGGTACTTAGGTGGATTCTGCAAACCTTGTATAATAGTAATAGCTACCTCATTATTCACCTTTAAATCTCTTCTTGAACCTCTCCTTTGCTCTGATTCCTAGGGAAAACTTGACAGTGGTTAAGCAGCTGCTGTGCTGTGAGCACTGCTCATCAAACTAACCAGTATTATCTCATTGTTTCCTTGAATTCCCCCATCAAACTGTATCAATCTGTTGTCTCTTGACTTATATTTAGATTGTAAACTCTTTGAGGAAAGGGTCATCTTTTAGTTCTGTTTGTACAAGTGCCTAGCACAATGGGGCTGTGGTCTCTGATTAATAAAATTACTAATATAAATTATTATTGTATGTTTCAGATTTTTACACATAGTCTTTATAGCAGTTCTGCAAAAACAGCCATGATGGAAGGGGACAGGGTGTTCATGAAGGGTCAGGGCCTTGAGGTCAATGACTACAGACCATATGGCACTGACTGAGATGTAGGAGGTGTGTAGAGGGCAGGAAATGCATCTACTGTTTCAGCTTGGGAACTGGAATAGTGACTGGAAAGTCTATGGAGCTGGCTTGTGGCTTAGAGAGTGACTACCTTCCCACTCAAATCCCTTATAGGCCCTGATTCTGCAAACAGATGTACACAGACACCTTGTGCTTGCAGTAGAAAATGGAGAGCATTGTCTCTGTTGTGACTCAGTATGATACAGTATTGTTTGCTGTACGAGATAGCGTTTTTAAGAGAGGGAACTGTGAAACCAAACAACAGTTCAGTCCGGTGTTATCCATATTCATCATTCAGGTCCCATTTCAATGCATGAGAAACAATAATAAATGTTTAGAAAAAGGGTTTCATAGATTCCAAGGCCACAAGGGACCATTGTGATCATCTGCATAACACAAGCCATAGAACTGCCCCAAAATAATTCCTAGAGCATATCTTTTAGAAAAATTGTCAGTGATAAGAGAATCCCTTGACCCTTGGTAAATTGTTCCGATGGTTAATTGCTCTCACCATTAAACATTTACATCTTATTTCCAGGCTAGATTTGTTTAGCTTCAGTTTCCAACTCGTGTTATACCCCTCTCTGCAAGATTGAAGAGCCCATTAAATATTTGTTCCTCATGTAAACACTTATAGACTGTGATAATTTCACCCCCTTAACCTTCTCTTTGTTAAACTAAATAGACTGAGCTCTTCGGGCCGATCACAGTAAGGTATTTTTTCTAATCCTTTAATCATTCTTTTGACGCTTCTCTGAACCCTCTCCAATTTATCAACATCCTCTTGAATTGTGGGCACCAGAACTGGACACAGTTTCCATCTGCCAAATATAGAAGTAAAATAATTTCTCTACTCCTACTTGAGATTCCCCTGTTTATACACCACAGGATCACATTAGCTATCCCACAGCATCACACCAGGAGCTCATGTTCTCCTGATTATCCACCACAACCCCTAAATCTTTTTATCTTTTATCATCCCAATCCTGCCCAACCCTCTGGGTAAATACCTGGGTGGCTAGCCCGAGCAATCACCCATGCTGCTGGACCACACTGATATTTTTACTGTACTAGCTTGTGCAGTACAGTATGTCTACACAGCTGCTAGGACGTATAATCGGGTAGACATACACTATAGCAGTACATTTCCCTTTGTAAACAAGTCATTACTTAGTCCCTTGATCTAAGCTCAAAAGGGACTGGAGGTCATTATCAGCTCAGTGAGTTTCACCAAATAGGTTTTTTTGCAAAGATCAATGCACACAATAGGGGTTGGTAGCTGTTTGCATCCCCCCACTCCCCCGGTGATTGTCTAGTGTTGGGAAGAAGGTGATAAATATTAAATATCCATCTTTCAAATGACTAACTTCCTAGCTCAAGTATAGCATTTCACAGATCATTTTGCCTGGCTGTATCCATTTTGTCTTCCCAAACAGACAGATAGGATTTTCCTCAGTACATTCCTCTTAACTATCTTCCCTTGTTATAAAATATAATTTACTGTCAAATCCCAGATCCTCTATCATCTATTAGCCTAGATGTCCTGTCTATCTTTGATTATTACATATTTTCCTTTTCCTTGCTGTTTTGCTGTGACAGCAAAAACCCAGGGATAATAGTATAGAGTGTGCCTAATTGGGAAACCCCAGTTGATAGCCTTCCATGTGCTCATGTTGTCCTGTAGTGGCTGACCCCAATCACTATAACAGCCAGCTACTTAACAAAGTTATTCCCTTAGCTGAAGTGGTAGAGGACTGTGCTTTGATGTTGAAGGTCTGAGGGTTGATTTCCACTGGTTACTTTGTTATTCATACATGCGTGGCCATGGGTTGATTGCTGTTCCATTATTATCATCAACATTTATTTGAAAAGCACCTAATGGCCTCAACCAGATTGGGCCCATTGTGCTGGGCACTATAAAAATATAAAATAAAAGACAGTCTCTGCCCCCAAAAAACTTACAGTCTAAAAGACTTGGTATAACAGATGGATGAGACAAACAAGCAGACTGGGGTGGGAGGCAGGAGAGACAGGGCAGCACAGGGTATCACAGCTAAAGAGGCAGCAGGAAAACTCCTGAAAACATCCTAGTTAGGCAGAAATACCATCTCTAAAAGGCAGCAGCCATTGCTGTGGGTCCCTGGGAGAAGCTCCAGATAAGCTATTTTTTCTTATTTTGTAGATTTCCTGATTGATGACAGTTGCTACTATTATCTGCATTACATTAGCACCGAGAGGTCCCTATAGACCCCCATTGTGCTAGGGGATGTATAAAAACACAGGAAGGCCTGGTCTTTGCCCCATATATTTTACAATCTAAAAAGCCAAGAAATGCAAGAGATCCATATAGAAGCATAGTCATTGGGGATGCTGACAGGCACATGCATTGTTAGTTCCAATTCTCCCTCCCCAACCAAAAGCAATATATGAAGGATGGGGGAAAGTGGATCAATATGTACAATTTTTAGATATCATTATTATTTAAATATAAATACACATCAAGTAGGCACAATGGCCTCTCAACTATTATTAACTGGGCAATTTATTGTAGGTGCTATGGCAGAGTTGGGTCTTGAGGAATAATTTGAAGGGGGAGAGGACAGTGGTTCTGTGGAACAGTTCATCGAAGGAGAGTAACAGCATCCTGATTAAATATGGAGTGGACTGTAAAAATATCGCTAAGCTGAAGTTTGGGATGTATTGCAAAAATGCCAGTGTGGTCAACCTTCTCTGTATATGACTTTGGAAAGTTGTGAAGGTGAATGTACTCTCCACATTAGAGAGTACTGCAGAAATGGGAAGGTTCCACATAGAGTTTCTGAGAGGCAAAGGTCAAAAATCCCCACTCATTTCTTACTTTTTTTTTTTTTGGCAGTAGAGCTTTCTATTGTCCCCAGTCACGTGGATCCAGCCACCAGCATGATGCTGACTCATTTACAATGCAAAAGAGACATCCCCCCGCCAGCGTTTTTTGGAAACCAGCATTTGTGACTGTTAAAATTATTGTACAGTGTAAGTTCATATGTTGACGGAGGTGGACAGGGCACCTTTGGTAAGGTGTAATCTCTTGGGCATATATTGCAGTTGCTCTGGTGCTTCAAAATCACAGTCTCTCTGACATGGTCACAGATATAGGACTATATCAATACTGAATTATAGGCATATATGCATCATGGTAGTTCATGTCTTTTGTTTTTAATCAGAGTGTACACACACTCTTTTTGCCAATGATGAGGAATGAGAATTGGGGAGGGATTTGAGGGAGGAGCCATGAAAAACTGATTTAAGAAGGCCATGGAGTGAGAGAAACTATCTTGACAGGCTCACCATGAAAGTGTTGGGTCGCCCTCAAAGTTATATAAGTATGATAGAATTATAATTATGTAGTAGTAGAAATAAAGATAGACAAAAGAGTATATAGGTATTGTAAAAGGGTATGAACATCAGTTCCATGCTGTTGAATTTCACTCTGTAACAAATGCAAGGCCAAAGTGCTAATTACTTCAGGCCGGTACAGGATAAAGAGTCTGTGCCAGAAAGTGATAAGAACTTTGAGAAAACAGTGCTGTTCTTTAAAACAACACCCTGATGCTCTTCTCCCGCGGGGGCCCCTTGTCATGCCTATGTAAATCTTGGTATCCAAAAAGGAAAAAATAGATAGTGGGATAAAACTTGTTAAATGAATCAAGAGTCATAGATTGTGTTGTTAAGTAAAAGAATGAATGATGAGTGCATGGAATTGAGAGCCTGAAGCAGGGAAATAATTGGTTAATAAATGGTGCCAGCCTAATCCTAAGAATTTCAACCTTGGTATCGATGGGCCGAAGAATATGCAAAGTGGAGATAACCGGATGACCCCTGGAGGGCGAACCGGAATCCACCCAAAACGTATCAGGGGAAGAACAAGAAGATAACACCTAGCCATCATGGAGCCGTCATGGATGTACCACCTGCTGATTGAGCTGATTGATGGTCATCTCAATTGTAAATTCAGCATGATGAAGCAACTTCCATAGACTTGTATTGAACCAGAGACCTTTAAAAATTGGGTCCAGGGACTGTGTTCTTTGAGTCGGGTTCTACAACCACCCTCCAGGAGCATCGGATGCGCATCTGACAATGACTCGGCTCCACTCTCATGTCCAGACCACCTGGCCAGTGACTTGGCACGAGCAACGTCTAGGCTGGTAACTATAACAACCTTCAGAGTAACAGCCGTGTTAGTCTGTATTCGCAAAAAGAAAAGGA